CATGATTCATTCCCTGTAGCTGAACTAGAAGCTTGTCTTCCGCCAGATCAAGACAATGCTGCCTACTACTTGAGTAATCTGGGATTCTGTTGGCAGCTAAGAAGGGAAACAACTGTTGGGTAGACAATGAGCAATGAACAACATCTGCTGCTATGCTGTTAACCCCCCAAAGAGCTAGTCTGATGAAATCGTCCATTTTTAAAATGGAGACAGTAAAAATATATGCCTCACTGACCTCAAAGTTTTGGGAGAATGAATTATGTGCTTTATGCTAAAACATGCTAGTCACTAACTATTTCAGTCTTCCAATTCAAGTTTTTCTGCTGTTCTACCCTTGACCTCAGTGTATTTACCTTTATTCAATAAAGTCTTCTTAAATGTCAGGTAAACTATCTATTCTAGTATGCACAAATTTCTCAGAAGTTTCTTTTTTTCTTAAGTCAGTAGTAAAGAAAAGAGGATAAAATTTTACTTGGGAAAGCAGGCCACTTGCTGCAGGCTACTCTTTTGTCAAATAAATGAGTCATGTATCTTGACACATATGAAATATGGCAACAGTTTATTTTATATTTTTTTCTAGCATCTTGATTAAAAACAAGTTGGCTAAAAGGCCCTAATTTATTTTACCAGTGCATTCATTATAAGACTTGGGGAGCATTTCTTGCAAAATAAAACTGTATCATTCACTCAGAAAAAACATAGAGCCTGGTGCTGCAACACATCTTTTTTCTATTTTTTCCTCTTTCACTTATTGTGATTCTGTATGTACACAGTACCTTGATTTGTGTAAGTTACATGGATTATATGGATTCTAGGCTGCTTTGTAAATTTCAAGTCTGCATTATGCCTGTTTTAATGAAGAATGAACTCTGAGTCCCGGCAAAAGCTCTGGATTGGTTTTGTCGTACTTCCAGATGTGCACCTGGTCCTTTATTGTCTCACATGGGAAGCTGGTGGGGACCTTTTTGACAGCATCTTGTTAATAAATCAAGTACAGTAAGATGTATATTTGGAGGGGAAAAAAGTAGAGTTGTAATTATGGTAATGTTGCAAAATAGCTTAAAAATGGAAAATAAACCAGGAGTCTAGCTGCTGAAATGTGAACATTATGTTTCTCTTTAATTTGCTGTTGTCTTGGAACCTAGCTGTTTATGCAGTGCTTTCACCTTCTGTTGCTTGTCTAAGTGCCAACTTCTTTCCCAAAGGTGTTCAGTGACTAATGCTTTGGTTATAAGCCAGAATATTTTATAAACATCTATTTCTAGGCAGCTCTTCTACCAGTCTCAATTAAACTTTAATGTCAAGCTGAAGTTTACTTTTAGAACCCCTTTGGTTCCTTTAGTTGTAGCATGATTAGCAAATTGAGGGGACTGTAGGACAGCCATGTTCCCACACATTTTCTCTCTCCCATTTCTCATGGTATCACCATGCAGGTACATACGTACTTAACCCAAAGGTTTGCCGCACAGGTGCAAGTACATCAAGTCATTCTCTAAAATGTTGGGACAGCACACTACCACTCAGTCAAATTCCTCTACTCTAAAATGAGAGCCTGGGTTTAGAATTACTTCTTTGTTAGTTATCGTACATTCTTCCAGCAATACGCAACTTCACAAATCAAGAATCAGAGCCTAGACATTGTGTCTATGGAAGTATTCTTCATTCCTTTCTTCTCCAGGTATAAAATTTCACCAGGGAGTTATGAGGACTGGGAATTATTTTATCTAATTCCAGATAGCTTCTGGGAGTAAATAACTGTATTCTATGCCATGTGAAATAATGAAACCTCTATTATAGTCAGGATAATACAGAATATATTTTAATTAAATAGAATGATATATTATGTTTATTTTGAAATTGTACTCATCAGATTGCTTCTATAGTGGAACCTACATACATTTTCTCTGAAGGGACAAATAGTAAATATTTGTGTATTTGTAGGACAGAGGTCTTTGTCTCAACTACTCAACTCTATCATTGTAGTGCAAAAGCATGGTTGTGTTCTAATAGAACTTTTTGTACAAAAACATGTAGACATGCGAATTTGGCCTTCAGGAAGTAATTTACTGACCTCTGCTCTATTATATGCTTGCTTTAAAAATAGTTCCTTGTAGGATGTTTTGTTATTTAAATATAGTTTCTCAATATAACTTAGGTTGATTGCCAAAATAAGCCAAGATTCTGAGATTTTAAGGGATTCTGAGTTTTTAAAAAAATAAATCTGCTCCTAGGTAGATATACATAAAGTAAATATATAAAGACAGATATAGATGCGTATCTCCCCAACAGGAGTACATGTACATGATCATTAAAAAGTTAGAATAGCTCCAAAATGAAAATTGTCAAAATTTCCATGGCTAATTGGATGGATAAATAAAATGTGGCATATTTTAAAAATGGAATATATGAATCAATAATAAACATGTTACAATTATATGTACCAATATATTAACCTCACAAAATTTTGTGTAAAAGAAGCCACAGAAAAGAATAGATAACCAAAGATATCATACTATATGATCCCATTTATATAAGATATAAAACTAGGCAAAGCCGGTTTACATTATTAAAAATCAAGAGAGTGAGTGGGGAAAGTAAGGGAGTTCAAAAAGCTTTTCTGTGGTTCTGATAAATATTTTTTTATCTTGATCAGGTTGCTATTTCCATGCATATGTTCAGTTTATAAAAATTAATGAGCTGTACATTTAAGATATTTTCATTTTTCTATACATCTATTATACTTTGATAAGTAGGTTTAAGTGAGTTGGAATAAGAGAAGAACTTAAACATTAAGTGGCCCATCCAGTTTCTTAGAGTTATATTATTAGAGTAATAAAAGTGGGGCAGTATGTCCAAAAATCACAATTTTGTTTGCATATTTTGAGGTTCAAAAGGATTAATAATTTCTAAAAAACCATACCACTTTTCCAGTATTGATTTTTGTCGTAGTCATATGATGATGCCATTAATTTATATGTCAGTTCAATAGGCTTATCTCCATTAAAATGTTAGGCTTGTGGGGTGGGGTTACAGATCACAATAATGTGGTAGTGCTAGATATTTACTTTTTTAATTAAACATTTGTAATTTGTGTACATAGAAAAACAAACATGGCTATAGGGCTATAATTTGACAGAATGTATATTGATGATTTCATGAACTTTTAACAGTCAATAACTTACCCAATAATTTCTCCAGTTTTTCTGACATGTTTCTTCTGTATTGCCCAGCACTTCTTTGTTTGATACAGACACATACATACCCATGAATATTTTTTAATACTGTGTTTTAGACTCTGAGAAAACAGTGTTAATCATGATCTAGCATCTTCTCTCCAGGAGAGCTTAGAGTTGAGAGAAACCAGATAGGGACTTGACATTGTGAAAATGTATTATTACAGAAATGCTCAGTGTGTTTTGGGAGAGGAAGAAGCCACCACCTTAGCCTTGTTATTAGGAAAACAGTGCAGGATAAAGGCAGTTGGCTAGAAGAACAACTAAAAATGACATTTATGCTAAATCTTGAAGAACAAGTATAGGTAGCCCGATGTGTGAAGAGAGATGTTAACAGCAGAGGAATAGCTTTAAGGAAACGCAGAACATACTGATGTGTTAGTGCCTGATTTGTTGTACAACTTTCAGTAATAGTCAGTCATTCATGTGTCCTCTCTAAATGCTTTAAAGCAGAAATTTTGAAATGTTTTCTTAAACTCCATCCTTACATCCCTTTTGCCTTTAATCAATTCACAAATAACTACTAAGTGCCTAAATAATGTGTGTTTAGTATTTCCAGAGATAGTTTACCCAAACACTGATCTTTTATACAAATGTTGGTGAGAGTGACACAATTTAAGCATTATTGAAGAAACTTTAAAAATTTTTCAGTGTTAGGTGAATGTTTATCCTTTTTATGGTTATGACTATCCTCACATGATGTTTTTCTTTGGGCCATATTTCTTTCTAGTCTGTACTAATTTTTCCAAATTTTAAACTAAGAGGTATCTAAGAATTTCTTCTTTGGGTAAAGTTAATAATATCATAACATTCTTTAACAAAGTTTTCCTTAGTGTTTAGCTATTCTAAACTTCTCATTGAGAAAGAGAATGGGCTGTGTAGAAATTTGCAATTACCTTGAGACTTTAGAACATTCTAGCTGTGGCGTTTGAATAAGTTTATTATACCTCATATTCTTCATATTTAAAATGTTCTAAGAACTATATGAAGTGGGCATGACCTAAATATTCACTGAATAGTAGTGAATATTGTTTTTATAGATAGGATGACTGAGGTTTAGAAATGGTCAGTGACATCCCCACCCCAAAGAACTGCTGGCAGTGCCAGGACTTGAACTCATGCACATGTCTGGATTTGCAGCAGTCTATACTTTGCAATACACAGTAGGATAAAACATCTCTGCAATTCTGTCTTTAATTTGGCCTAGTTATTGGTGGAGGTGTCCAGCTGCCTCATAAATTAATTCTAGTCCAACAGACTTGAATGCCACCCGCTTCCTGGTGGGTATAGTAGTTCTTCCTCCTGTCTTGCTCACTTCTACCAAACATTTCTTCTATCCTTTCATTCTCCTTTTCTCCCATCTCCCCCCATTTTTTCTTTTTTGGTTTGGGCAGCTAGTGCAATGCCTATGTTAGGCTTGAAAGAAAGAAAAGAAAATGCTTTGCCTTCAGTAAACATTGTGAAACAATGAGAAAAATGTTAAAATTCCAGAAGCAGGAAGGTAAGCAGAAAAGAAATGAAATAGACTAGACACTAGTTTAATTATAACTAATAAAAAAACAAACTTTTCTTGGGTAATAGGTGACTCATTTACTGAAAACATAAAAAATTAAGAGTTCCTTTTAATATGGGTTTAAATCTGCTTGTATGAGGTTATTCCCATGATTGTCTATATTTTATGTTCAGTTTAAATTATATATACTTGTATACTGAGAGAGAGGATTTTATATTCTAAACAAGAATTAAATAATATTAATTAATCTTTAGGCCACATGAAAATAAAACCTACCTTGCTGTTGGGAGTATGAAAACGTTAATGTTGAACGTATCCTTGTTTAATGCTGGGGATGATGCGTATGGAACGACTCTGCATGTCAAACTCCCCACGGGTCTTTACTTCACTAAAATTTTAGACTTGGTGAGTACTTTCAACCATGATAGCATGATACCACTTAGTATTTTGCTTGTTTTTTTCTAAAGTGGTAGGATTCACTTCGATTTGGGGCTTAAGTCAATATTTAGACTTAGCACACATGCCCCTAGTTCTTTTGAGCCTTCCTCCATGCCTTGGCTCAGAATGATGAGTCTGTGGGTCTCAAGTCCAAATGCATCAGCTTCCAGCTTTCTAGTGCCTGGAGCAGGAGAGGGTTGCTTGGGCACTGCCATGTTCCCACTGCCACAGCTGGCACATGCCTCCTGGTGGGACCACTAAGTACTTGATTTCGGTCCTAGCACAAGTGACATCAGTCCTCCGTGCTGGTCTCCCAGAGTTACTACTTTTCATTTTAAGTTCACATTCTCAGCTTTGGTCCCAAAGGAACATCAGAACCAGAAGTCCTTCACGATTTCAAAATTGAAGTTTCTCTTTTCCCACAAGAGCCTAGAGTACTTGGAGACCTTTTCTTACCACTGTGCCTCAGTCATGAACACTCAGACCCACCAGCAAGATATTAGTGAGGCTGAGGTTCAAAGAGAAAAACCTCACTCACTTCCTTCTTTGATATTTAACCTTAATGATTTTACCCATTTTTTATCCAAGGACCAATCCCTTCACACCAAGGTGTTTAAGAGAGGCTTTTGACCTCTCACAAATATCTAATACCTTCTTTCTCTACAGCATGGGAGCTTATATGCAAAAGTAAGAGGGAAAACAGGGAATATATTTTAAAAATATATCTATTGCAATTGTACCCACATTACACTTATTGAGATTACAGTTATTGTGATCAAATACCTTAAGCACACTCTCACATTCCAGACAGAAGACAGCCATTGAAATATGGAATTTTGGATTCCTTGCCTCATGATTTTTGGATTAAATAGGGAATATACCAATATGTAAGAAAGCTACAAGTCCAGGAAATTTTGGAAGATATTACATAAATATTAGAATATACATATACACACACATTTATGTTATTTATATTTCTATTTATCCAAAAGGTAAACATAAAATCATTTTCTAAGAAAGGAAATACTTCTGGGATGATATTCTTTTCAATAAATCATCCTTAGACATATGTCACAAACTTTTTACTCCCTTCCTACCTAAACCAATTATTTCATTTTCCTTTTAGGAAGAGAAACAAGTAAATTGTGAAGTCACAGACAACTCTGGCATGGTAAAACTTGACTGCAACATTGGCTATATATATGTGGATCATCTCTCAAGGGTGAGCATTTTGCAGTTACGGTTTTTGTTCACCAACATGAATTTTTTTAATCTTTTTGTTCATGCAAATACATATATATATATATATATGAGAGAGAGAGAGAGAGAGAGAGAGTATGTAGGCAAAGTGATTAAATAAAACTGGGCTTGATGTCTTTGAGCTTTGTGTTTATATTCTTGGCAATGTACACTGTTTCAAAGCAGGGGGACCGGAGGCAGCATTTTTATGTCGAGATGGGCATGTGAATGTGTCAGTCAGAATTCTACTCCCCCTACTCACCCTTCCTCAACACCTATCCCCACCCTACCCTAGGTGGTCCTGTCTGCCAGGCATGTTACCTCTGCTATACAAAAAGGTGTTTTGCCAAAAGTCCTCACTCGAGTTGTTAAAGCATTTCTAATTTTGTCAGTCTGGATCTCCCTGTCTTCACATTCAAAGAAGGCTTTGTCTCTGAATGTTACTTGTGGAATTGTGTGTGCTTCAAAATGATCGCAAAACCAACAAATTTCCTGTATCATATCACCATCTGACACGTTGCCTGTCTCTAGAATAGGTTCAGTTCTATATTACATAGAACATAAACTCTTAAAAAAATTAAAATTCAGATTTTAAAAAATGTATTTTAGGTCATTATTTTTGAATGGACTTTCCTGTTCTCTGTTTTACAGATAGATTTGAGCTTTCTCCTAGATGCAAGCTCACTCAGCAGAGCAGAAGAGGACCTCAATATCACAGTACATGCCTCCTGGTGTGTTTTATTATGACAAAAATAACTGTACTAGAGGAAATGTACCTCTGTATTTTGAGGGGGGATTTTAGGAGAACCATGAAACTGTATGCTACTAGTTGTCTATAGGAGAAAACTTCTCTTATATGCTCTTTTTAAAAACAAACACCTTCTATCTAGCATTAGAAGCAAATAACAGTTTAAATAATGAGCTCAAATTTCTGCCAACCTTATCCTAAAAAGTTATTCTTACTACATCTGCTTTTATTCCTACTACCCAAAAAGAGTTATCTCAACACATCTCTAAGGTTACATAGTATGTAATTAGTCCTCTCTGAAGAAGATGATTTTGTGCTTGATGGATTCTAACAAGATGTTTTCTATTTGTGTAGTGAAAATGAAGGAAAAATGGACAATCTAAAACAAAACAGAGTGACCGTAGCAATACCTCTGAAGTATGAAGTTGTGCTAACTGCTCATGGGTAAGTAGTCATAGAGGCTCCCTGTAAAGTCTAGAGCTGATTTTCAGTTCCAGAGCTTCTTACATTAATGACAAAACCATTTTCAAACTTTATTAAAATCCAAAGAAGACTGCACTGTTTTTATCATTTAACAATTACCTAAGTGTTGCAGTCCCTTGTTTTGCTGTTCATTATTTTAAGCCACTCTATCATCATCACTGATCCTACATCAAACTCATGTCCATATGGAGAGTCTTGTTGGAAAAGCCCCAGTAATCTATCAGGCTACATTCAGCCTTTCAGTGGTGCACCGTGTAATCCATGGGCACTAGGAGTTATGCAATGTGCAGTTTGCACAAATATACTCAATGCCCACACCAAGTGTGAAGTTCAGAGATGTAGGTCTGTAGAGTGTGAGCTTGGCCAGTTCCCCACTCTACAAACCTACATCTTCCTATGTGCAAATGGATTGAGATATTTGAAATCCAACTGTAACGTATCCCTTATCTACTCTTTATACCTATGAGATCACCAAGTCCCACAGTGCCGCTCCCAGCAGTCATTGCTTCCTCACAATGACTGAGTAGATCCTCCTCTGACTCAAACAGGAGATGCATGGAGAAAAACTTAAGTGGGGGCTGAAGAAAATTCAGTGATTTCACTGGAAGTTATTCACACTATTAATATTTGTTTAAAACTACATTTATAGGCCAGGTATAGTGACTTACGCCTATAATCCTAGTACTTTGGGAGGCAGCGGCAGGAGGATTTCTTGAGGCTAGGAATTCGAGATCAGCCTGGGTAACATAGCCAGACTCTGTCTCTACAAAAATAAATAAATGATATTTATAAAGCAACAGAAGAGAAACAGAACAAATAAACAGATGAGCTTTTCTTTTGTTGCTCTGCGTGTAAACCATCCCCCAGTCATTTAGCCACCCATAATGGTGGTACACAATTATATAAACATAAAATGTCAGTATTTAAAACTATTGGAACTGAGTTTCAAGTCTGGGAGATTAAAGAAAAATACAGGGAAAAAAGGAGGTCATTCACAAGCGAGGAGGACCTAGAGCAGGGGTCCTCAAACTACGGCCCGTGGGCCACATGCGGCCCGCCGAGGACATTTATCTGGCCTGCCGGGTGTTTTTGCTGCCTTAACTTGTTACGACTAGCAATGACAAATATGGAACCGGACATTGACCATCTCATTAGCCAACAGCAGGCCCATAGTTCCCACTGAAATACTGGTAAGTTTGTTGATTTAACTTTACTTGTTCTTCATTTTACATATTGTATTTGTTCCCGTTTTGTTTTTTCACTTCAAAATAAGATATGTGCAGTGTGCATAGGAATTTGTTCATAGTTTTTTTTTTTAAACTATAGTCCGCCCCTCCAACGGTCTGAGGGACAGTGAACTGGCCCCGTTTTAAAAGTTTGAGGACCCCTGACCTAGAGAGTCAGTGGGTAAGCAAATAAAAGTTGACTACATGCTTCCTAGTTTTGAATGTTTATCTTGCTTCCCCTCCTGGAGTTTCTTATGAGTACCCTCCTATCTTTCTACTATTCACATCTCGTTATTTTGGATAAGGAATGCTCTACAACTGTTTAAACTGCCTAAATCTAATTTCTTTCCTGTTTAATGGGTTTCCAGTTTGGTACTACCTAATATTAGCTGCCAAATATGAACAACTTGTGGAGCAGGGATTTCTCTAGGAACATATTTCTTAAAGTTCACTGTGGGTAAAAAAAAAAAAATGTCTAATCTCAGGAAAAAATAAAGTGACTACCTTGCACCCTAATTTAAAAAATTATCATACTTATATGTGTTTACATTTTTCCACAGACTTGGGTTTCATTACCAATGGCCTGCAGGAATAGTGAGATGGAAATAAATGACATACGTGAGCCCTGGGGAAAAGCTGAGGCTTTATCCCATATTTGTCAATTTTACATGAGTCATTTAGGTGTGAAAGAGAATGGTCAGCAGAATGAACCAGATAGAGTATTAGAGAAGGCAAGAAAAGGGTAAGACCAGATATTGCCACTCAGGTCAGAGCACATGGCCTTCTGATTGCATTGCTTTTTCAACAAAACATACATCTGACCAGAAAGCCAAAAGTATTCCATGTTATTCTGTAAATATGCCATAAATCAATCTATAGAGAAAGCCTGTTTATAACCTCACTGAATGAATCAGTTAATTAAATTTGAATCTGTTTCTATCAGGTTTGTAAACCCAACTTCGTTTGTATATGGATCAAATGATGAAAATGAGGCTGAAACATGCATGGAAGAGAAAATGAACTTCACTTTCCATGTAAGAAAAGTTAATTTTACTGATGTTGATAACAACCTTAAAGGATGTAACTGATGCATTTCTCCAGCGGACTTCAAATACTTAAGACGTCCCTCAGTCTCTGCCGACCATGGCTGGCTGGTAGGGGCTGCAGCACTAGTACGCCTGCCTCTCAGGCTTCTTCCTCTTTCCTCCCACTTGTCTTGTCCCTGGTGCTCGAGTCCATACCTCCTTATGGGACAGGTGGGGAAAAGCATGCAGGATCAGAGATAAAGCCTGAAACAGGCAAAGATATTCATGAGAGATGCATACAGAAAACAGAATGAGCCAACAGAAAGTATCTTTCGGTGCAAATCAGTGAAATCCTTTCTTGAGTCAAGCTTCATAAAAAACCCTAAAGGAAACTCTTACTTTGCCCATCTCCATTTAAGGACAAACTGGTCAGCCTTTTAAGCCATAGGTTTATGACCTTTGACAAGTACTTTATCAATTATTAAACAATCCTTTAAAAAGTAAAGAATACTGTCATTATCCAGAAGTGTTGATTAGTAGACATAAATTTAAATTTTTTAAACATTTTTGCTGTCAAATTTTTGTTGCATCACAGATGTTGATGATGAGTAAATTCAATAATTTCCACAAAAACTATATTTTGAACCAAAAGATGTCTTAGATTAGGTTATATCTTGTAAGGCTTTTCAAAATGTGCATTAGCATCATGAGGGGTATGTATTCAAAATGCAAATTCCTGGGCCCTGCCCCAGATCTGTAGAAGTATGGCCTTAAAATCCTATTGATGTAGGTATTCTCCAGTTTTTGTTATACTAGTATATACTACTATGAAAATGTTATCTTATTTTTTAAGTTTTAAAACAGAATTTATTAGCAAGAAGGAAAAAGGAAGATTCATGGCAGAAAAACCTGCCATGGACAAGTTTCTCAAAAAAGAAAAACTGCCAGTATTGAAAATTTTAGCCCTGCACTTTAAAGCTCCAAGAAACGCTCTCATCAGAACCTAATGTGGGTTTGTACTTTTCTGAACTAAAACAGAAACCAGCGGGACTCTAGAATGACAATTCTTATTTATTAGTTTAATAGTTAACAAGTCTTTCTAATTAACTTACAGTGGAGTGACTGGGACTGGAGAAACTTAGAGTATATAGGCTTGCTGTGTCCTGTCCAAGTATGAGGGGGACCCCAAAAAAACAGAATTGTATTTTGGAGGGCAAGTTCTTTGTAGTACAGACTTTCCCCACTAGGTAAGTGTTACAGGAACCCATCGACATCAGTTTACCAGCTAGCATCGTGTGAGAGGCTGCATTCAGCTTCAGTGAATTTCCTTTTTGAGATTCTCTCAGCACATTTGCCTATTTCATGATGGGTGATTTATAAGCACACCTGCACACACAACACTGAGTGTTCAGCAGTTTTTGACCAAAAACAGCATAAACCCCATGCCCCACCATCCCTATTCACACAATCTCACCCCACGCAACTCTTTTGTTTTCCCAATGAATAAAAGTCCTCAAAGGGAAATGATTTGCTGATATGGAAGAGGTAAAACAAAAAATGGCAGAAGCACTAAAAGGCATCAAAATTGATGAGTTCAAAAACTGTTTTGAGCAGTAGAAATAGTGTCTCGATAGATATATTGCATCAAATGGAGGATTCTTTGGAGGTGACTGAAGTTTAAACATGTAAGAATACACAATTTTTGATAAATAAATTCTGGGGTGTTGGGGTCCCCCCTTGTATGTAGGTGTTCTTGGGGATATCTTATTAGGCAAACAGGAATAAAGCATAATTGTAATTTAGATTGATCAGTTACTGCCTCCAGAAGACTTTATCTATAGTACTGGGTGCTGCTGGGTATCTGTCAACAGAATGACATTTCCTTCTGCAACTGCCCTGTGCTCTTACTTACGTCTTAGCAATTACCAGCTGTCTCAAACTTACAGATACTCTCTTCATCTATGTCATATGCATTCAAAAGATGACTGCAGGTCTGCAAGTCATCCTTTTTTATTTATGTGTTGGGGCACATCTCTTTTCTGACTTATTGTATTGGTTTTATAGTTAAGCATCTCAGTAGGCAATATTTTGGCCTAGTCTCATTATTTAGGGACATGCAATCCCCAAATCTATCATCTTCTTATGAATTTTTGAAAAGTGTTATTAAAAACCTGCTGTGTTTTCTCTAAAACCCAGTAACATACTCTTTTCTGTCTTTCTGAAAGCATCCGCATATTTGAATTCAAATACATTTTTATTTAGTTACTGCTGCTGATTCTCTTCTCAGCACAGAGTGATTTTGTGATAACTTCATGCAATTTAGAATTAGAATACCTGAGTTTGGGTCTTAACTCTTGTTACTTTTTAACTTTCAACTAACACTTCTTAGCATTTTCTCTAGCTGGTAAATAGTAAAATGTTGGCCCACCCCATGAGATAGTTATAAGAACCAATTGATCATGTTTTTAAAATACATTATGTAACATATAAATGTATGTTATGTCTCTTTCTTAAGACTTTCTCCAATAAATCATCAGCCTGAACTTCTTGATCTAAACAATACCAAGACAAGAGGGCTAGAACTAATGACTAGAGTTTGAAATTGTTAGCAAACCTTAAAAATTCTGACTATAGATATTATGTCTGTCTTTGTTGGGTGGCTGCCAACCACAAAACTCCACCACTATGAATGTTGCATACAGTATATGCAATTGCCTAAAAGTTCATTGATATTGATACATTTATGAAAAACATTTAAAATCTAAAAAAATTTTCTTTATTGTCAGGTTATCAACACTGGGACTAGCATGGCTCCAAATGTTAGTGTGGAAATAATGGTACCAAATTCTTTTGTCCCCCAAACCGATAAGCTGTTCAACATTTTGGATGTCCAGGTAAAAATGTGTTTCTTCTACCTGACCCTTATTAGGTATATCTTAAATATCAAAATAAATGCAAACCAATCCTTTATTCAAGTAATATTGCTAAAATGGAGATGTTACTATTTCAGTCACATTCATTCTAAGCTATGAATTCACCACGCATGTATAGAGTTATACTTTGAATATTATACATTTTATTAGAACTGCAAAATTTCAGTAGAATCTTTACATTTGACTTACAAAATAACAGGACTTACCATCTCCATTGAATAATTATTCTAGGATACATTTTCTTTGTGATATGATCTATGTAAGTAATTTAGTTGGTAGAATTCTCCATAAAGCTTGAAGCCACTGTCAAAAGATCAGTATTTAGAGCCTGGTTTTAAAGGAAGCAATATTCAAATCACTACTTTAAGAACTGATACTCTTGTGCTGGTGAGTCTCTCAAAACTGTTTTTACCTTCCCAGTTTCAAGATAAGCTATCAACAAATCTATAAGTAGGTTTGATATTTGATTTTTTAAGAATCTGATTTAAATTCTGGATTTAGATAGACCATGCTTTAACATATTGCTTTGTGTATAAAGCCAAAGGAATATTGAATTTCATGCTAGTGTTAAAATATCATTTTTCACGTGTAGGGTTAAGACCAATTTAATCAGCTTAGGAACCATGTGTAACCCTCTATAATCTTGTTGGGATTTTGTGTGTGTTTTTGCCACAGAGAATCTCCCTTGAATAAATCTATTGAAAAATATTTTCACAATTTCAGAGTTACTTGATATATTTTAGAAAAGATAAGCAGTTAGAACTTTTAGAACCATGTTGTTTTTCTTTCCAACCAACGCTAAAAGATAAACTTATTCTTGCTTTCTATTTTTATAGACTACTACTGGAAAATGCCATTATGAAAATTATCAAAGAGAGTGCACATTAGGGCAGCAAAAGGGTACAATGCAGACCTTGAAAGGCATATTCCAATTCTTATCCAAGACTGATAAGAGGCTATTGGTAAGTTTCAGTTTTTCAGATTGTAGTTCTTGCTTTCCAACAAAGAAGTGAAACACTTAAAAAACAAAAGTCAATGAGTTTGAGCTGTCAGTTGAGTGATAAGAGGGAAGATGAGTTTAGGTCATATTCTTGTGTAGAAGAAACAAGCATGATGATCAATGGGTTTGAGCTGTCATTTGCATGATAAAAGGAAAGACAATTTTAGGTCATATTCTTGTGTAAAAGAAACAAACCTGATTGGAAGGTTGAGATAGGTTCAGGGTTAAATATATGTCATATAGTTTCATCTTTTGTCTAAATAAATGTCCATTATTTGACAACCAGACATTGTTCTAGACTCTTCAGGACACCAAGATGCTATCTTCACCTGGGCAGCCTTTATGGCATAAGATTAATTTTCATTCTTTTCATCTTAGTGAATTTGTGAAAAGAAAATGAAGAAGCAATCATCACCTTCAAGTGATCCAAGTTTTATAACAAACATAGAACATGTAACTTAGCAAGACTTTGATCAGGAGTCTTGCTTTTAATTATATCCCAGAAGGTTATGTTAAAAAGAATAAGGAGAATACATGCTCCAATTGGAATACTTTGTTTCTGTTCTAATTCACAGAATAAACATTTGTGTTTTTTTTAAAGCAAGATAATTTTTAAAATTCCATCAAGGGAAGATTTTAATTCCATATTTATAAAAAGATAATTTTCTAAATGCCAGTAAATGGAGCAGATTTTTAATTCTATGTAAAATATTTTAAAATATATTTTTTAAATATTGAAAATGTTAAAATAGCACTTTTATATTCTTTTCAAGTACTGCATGAAAGATGATCCACATTGTTTAAATTTCTTATGCAATTTTGGGAAAATGGAAAGTGGGAAAGAAGCTAGTGTTCACGTTCAGTTGGAAGGTCGGCCGTCAATTCTAGAAATGGTAAGTCTAAAATATATTGATAAGTTTGACAGTATGCCCATATGAAATCTATACATCTAATCATCCTATGTATACAGGATGGTATAAAGGCATTCAACAAATTAAGAAGGTATAAGTAACACTCTAAAACTGGATTTTTATTTATCCCTTCCACCATTTACATTGGCTAAGTGACAGCTTTAATAATTAAACAGATAATTAAGACTAAAATAGACTATGGAATAATTAAGAGGTTTATTTTAGAAAGCATGTCCAACTGCCTATGAACTTTGATTACATCAAAGAAATAGGCTATCTTAAGATTTCAGTTAAGCATAAAATTATTTCTAATTGCTTTAAATTATCTTTAAAATCTATATGGAAAAAGCAAGAAGTAAAACAAAGGCTTTCATGAACTTGAACTAAAACATTGAAATTTGTCAACAGTGGCAAAATGAACAACAACAAAAATATACTTTTAAAATAATAAACTTTGAAAGGTCAAATTAAAAAATTAGATACATCTTGGACTTCCTCCTAGAAAGGAGTATGCTTATGAGGAGTGTTTTGTGATAAAACAGTTTTGTCTAGAGTTCTGCCTTTTGGTGTCCTTGCCTGTTCAATATAAGTAATATATCTCAGGTGTGTTGCAGATTAAATAAGATGATTTTTATAAGCACTGAGTAATAGTGCATGGTACATAGTAAGCCAAAGGAAAAATGGCAAGTTATGTTTTACGTGGAATTTTTGAAATTACCACACAGTGGTCAAGGGGCAGATATGCCACACATAGAGAAGCTGTCCATTTTAGTTTCACCTCTGCTAAAGATGAAATCCTGTTATCATCAGCAATTCATTTAACCTTTTGCAGTTTTCCTTCTCATACTCTCTAAGTCTTGGTTTCCCAACTGGGGGATTAATTGGCATTTTGACGCAAATAATTTTGTTGTCAGGGGCTTTCTTGTGCATTGTAGGATATTTTGCAGCATCCTAAGCATCCATATGCTCAATGCTGGTAGTACCACTTCCCAAGTTGAAATTCAAAAATGTCTTCAGACATTGCTGACTGTCTCCTTGGTGACAAAATACTTCTTGTTAAGAACCACTGTTCTAGCTTTAGATGAAGATTGCAATTTATGAATCTGACGTAAAAAATATATTCTCATCTTTCCCAATAAATGTACACATGGAAATATCTCCTACAGGTTCTTAAAACCAGGAAAATACATCCACAGATCCCCAAGCTCCATGGATTCTGGGTCATAAAGTCTCTGCTTTATATAGGAGTTCATTCATTGATTTTTTTTTTTATATTTGAGTTTTATAACTATTTGTAACATATTTTGTATTAAGATATTAAGTAGATTGTATGTATTTAGTTTAGAAAGAAATGAAAGAATCCCAAATAAGATGAATTTGAGGAAGTGTTTATCAGGTGAAGAAAATCTTGTTTGGGGATAAAAATTCACTATCCAGGAAAAAAATACATTGGTAACTAGTAACTTAACTCTTACTGTAGTCTAACAATTAATTAAATTGATTTACCTACAAAGTAGCCATGTTAAATAAAAGGGTTTCAATGAAATGGTGCAGTATAAATTAAGGTCACACCTTTAGAATCAAAGGAACTATTGCATTATAGTTAATTACAAATGGTGAAATAAGTTGAGGAAGATAAATTAAATTGTGCAAACCTCTAGATAATAGGTAAAGATCCTGAGAAAAATTTTCTATTCATATGTCTCCAATAAATAAATTGGGGTATGGCACTCTTTCTTTTATTAACAGGATGAGACTTCATCACTCAAGTTTGAGATAAGAGCGACAGCTTTTTCAAAGCCAAATCCAAAAGTTATTGAACTAAACAAGGACGAGAATGTTGCACATGTAAGATTTCCCATTTAACTGGTACATTTAAATTGTAGGAAAAAGTATTGTGAGGGTGTTTGTAATTACTTTGAGTACCTGAGTCAGGAGAGTAGTGTGTGACCAGTTCACGGAGGGCCTTGAATACTTCACTGAGAGCTGGCATTTCCCACGACTGGCAGGAGGGAATTACACAGCTTTAGGGAGGCGAATCTGGTAGCAGTGAGCACAAGCTAGATGAGAGAGTCATGGATAAAGCCCATTACCACTCACTGTTTCTACTAAATAGTTACCAGAGCTTCCTAGGGTTGTGTTAGATCCAGCAAGAGAATAGGCTGAGTAGATGTCATTATTTGGGGGGATTATGGAAGGGTTTCAATGATTTCTAAACTAATATGTGTGTTTTTATTTTTAAATTTTGCTTAATTAATGTAGGTTCTACTGGACGGACTACATCATCAAAGACCCAAACGTCATTTCACCATAGTGATTATTTCAAGTAGCTTGTTACTTGGACTTATTGTACTTTTATTGATTTCATATGTTATGTGGAAGGTAAACTTTTAATAATTACTAATGTTTAACCACTCAAAATGTTATTATTTTCTCAAAAATTTAAATATTTTAGCATTTTAATGTTAATTTTTTAATTGCTAAGTACTGATCTCATGTTTCACTTAAGTTTAATACCAAAGTCTGTCTAGAAAAAAAATACCTTCTTAAAGGTAACTTGTTCTGAAAGATGTTCACTTTAAAAAAGATTTGAATGTTGCATATTATGTGAGATGTCAGTTTTGGAGAGTGAAGCATATAACTACTGAGAAATCCAGTATTAACAAAAAAATGCTGCTTTAACTTAGTTTGTCCCAAACTAATTTTTAATGATTACATATGTTAAAAGCCTTCCTGATTAGTGTTACATGGAGCACAGTTTAAGAAATATTGGTGTTAACTTGTTTAGATATTTGAAATTAGTATAGTAGATAGGTGTGAGTATTCATAACTATACATTAGTGATTATGTAATGTTATTTTCAGGCCGGCTTTTTTAAAAGACAATACAAATCTATCCTACAAGAAGAAAACAGAAGAGACAGTTGGAGTTACATCAACAGCAAAAGCGATAAAGATGAATAAATCTTTCAAATTGAGAGGACACAGACAGACTCAGGTTATATATACTAAAGGAATTTAAGACACTGTTTACAAGAAAACATTTTGCTCAGACGTCTTTCATGAACTCTTATAATCTTGTAAAATATTATGCCTTAATGCAGTGGGAAAATCTGCAATGATTACTCTTTGAGAGAGAACTGCAAATGTAATAATATAGCCAAAGATAGTCTTTCAGCATTTAAATGGGTAGAAAAACACTAAAGCATTCAATTTGTTGAAGAAAAGTAAACCTTTGAAGATATCTTGAAATAAGCATACCTGAATGAAATCATATTGAAGAAGTAAACAACTGGATTGGAGAAATCTTGGATTTGAAATATCAGAGAAATATTATCTACCATATGTGCTCACCTTGGTAAAATAAATCCCATTGAATGGGCAGTAGTTCATTCCAAATACATCTTTGAGACTTGTTTGAAATAGATTCTTTAAAAATATTTAGTAGTATTTTTCAAAAGGTTGTTTCCACATTTTCTAATGAATGAAAGAGGACCACTGTCATTTGAAAGCAGATTTTATCTTTAAAGGCCTTTATTTGTAATATATTTCCTATGGGCTTTGCTCCAACAACCACTTTATTCAGCAGATGATGAATATTATAGGCCTAATGTGCAAACTTCAGACTGAATTCATACACTGATTTGAGCTTTAATGAAATGTCTTCTGGGTAAATATGGTTTATATAGCTATGGATCTCTCTCTCTCTCTGTGTGTGTGTGTGTGTTTTAAAAAGAATATATTTGTTTATGTAAGTATAAATCTGCTAGTCCTTCTATAACACAACTTTTTTAAGAGTACCCAGAGGTAAATTTTTAAAAACCATCTTCAAATGTTTCGTTTATAAAAACCAGTACTTAATTTATATTCTGAAACAACAGATTGTGAATGCTGCACTTTAGCCGATATACACTGATGTATGTAAGAAATATGAAGACTTTACCTCACTGATAATTTTTAAAAAGCAAAGCTGTGCAAAGAATAGTTAGGGTTCAATGCTTCATACATATTGAGTCCTATATAAAATATTAACTGTTCAAAATTAAGCAGCTACACAAATATTTGCTTGGATGTTATTCTTTTCTGTTACTTTTTTCAAATATAAGTATTAATCAGGGTTATAAAAGTGTTTTCTTTTGCATGGAAATGGAGAAACAAAATTCATAGAAATGAAATATCAATTCCCATGAAATGTTTAAGTTTGTTCATATTATATGAGGTTCTGTTTTAAAATGAAATCGCTTCTTTCTGGATTTTAAATATTTATCTTTAAATAGTTTTTCATTTGCAAATACAACATTTTTTAAAATATTTATTTCATGCCTGTGGTCTAGATGCTGATTACTGTAGAATATAATTTCACCTGGATCTGTCTTTCTATGTGTAAGAAAGCTGTGACCAAATTTTGACCATCTGTTACAGGAAGTGATCAAATTAGAGGGAAATCTTTACTATTATGGAAGAAATTTCCTAATATGAAGTCCCTGCCACCAGCTGTGTCCTTCCTCAATTTCCTGAGTCATGAAAGTTATCTGCTCCCAAGCTTGTGGTCTGTGATTGGTGATTAAATGATGAGGAATGTACCAAGATTTGTGAAGGCATTTGAGCAGTGAAATCCAACCACAAAACCTCCTAAACCCAGTATATATCAACAGGAATACACTTATTAAAATTTTTAATATTTTTAAAGAACACTTTTTGTGCAAAAGATAAATATTTATGTTTTCATTACAAAAAGTAAAATAGTTATTTCTAGAGAATATCTAGTATCACTGATGAAAAATTAAGCCCCAGATATAAATGCCTTCTTCAGGATGATCCTTGAGGAAATTTAAATTTGGTTCTTTCCTTTTCAGAAATGACTGTATTTTAGGTATTATTGAGCACAATGAGAACATAGTACTATGACTGCCCAACACATGTCTGTAAGGTGCAAGAGGAGCACAACTACCTATTGGGCTAAATTTTGCCCAGTTAGAAAGATATTTTGTATAGTTTAAAATAAAATTTGTTATAAACTATTACCTGTATGATGAATTTTAAAATGCTACCATTTTACAGAACTGGTACCATAATTTTAAAAAATAGGTTTTTCTTTTTTGACAAGTAGTCTAAGTATTGGAGAGATTTCGAAAAAGTGATTTTATTTCTGGTTATATCACTAATTAGCTATGTGATTTTGAAATTTAACCTCTCTGAATTAGTTACCACATCAGTAAAGTCAGGGCAGTCTCCTGTGCTCTCTGTGGTCTGTTGGTACCAAGCTATAAGAAATTTAACATCAGAATTGATGGGCTCAAATCCTGAAAAATGAAAGGATCCAAATTATTTCACTTTGGAATTATCTAGGCTAAATATTGACATATTGTGGTTTTGCCTAAGTTTCAAGTATATGCAATGTTTATATTCAGTTGCAATAAATACATTCTAAAAACTAGAATTTGAATTATTTTTTATGTATTTCATATTTTTCATCTTGACTTTTAAAGTCCTAAGAGGCTAATTTTTAGAAACATCAAAAATAGCAATTTTAATTCTTTAAGAAATAAATTGAAAATATTTTCTGTTAGGATATCTGCTTATAGCATGGCTATATATCTTTATATTAAAATTCTAGTTTGAATATTTCTTTTACAAACAATTACATGTTACTTTGGAATCACTAATTTCTTCTGTGCTTCCTCCATAAAGACTGATAAGTCTTGGATGCAATCTGGAAAGAAAATAGGTCCAATTGATTATTTCATCAACCTATCATTCTGTTATTTTTCACACATACACCTAATTGGTGTAGTACATAATGTCAAGTACAAAGTTGATGACCAACAAACATACATTCATTGCAGAGCTGCAACTTAGAAAACTGAGGGTACCTGATAAGTCAACACAAGTAATTACTCTAAAGTCTTCTTAACTAGTTTTCTTGACACGTGCTCTCCCTTGCCTCTGTAAAACACAGTCAATTGTGCCTCTGCAACATTCCTGTCTAGTGGGTGGCCCTGCACACTTCTAACCATTGAGTCACAATGCCTATGAAGAATGGGTTTGCAGGTTCAAAAGCCTGTTTATAACAGTTGCTTTTGCTACTTAACAAGTTGAGTGCTTTGTAAAGGCTTGATAAAAGCAAATTGTTGAACACAAAGTATTACAGTTGTATAGTTACAAGTGAAAGGAAACTAAAAGACCGGAGAATTAAATTCGGACAATCTACTCAGGTGGTTCCATTAAATGTTTAAGAGCTTGATCCATTTTTTAAAAATCTAAAAGGAACATTGTAGACACACGTTATCTGAATAGTTTATGCACAGCACTAATTTAGAATGCCAATGCAGACTCATATAATCGAAGAAAATTCCTTGGCTCTACATAATAGTTGGTGAATAAATGCAAAGTTATAATTTGTTTGAAAGTTGTGCATGTTTCTTTTTATGCTTTCCTGATTTACTAATATTCACTTGTGTGTGTGTGTGTGTGTGTGTGTGTGTGTGTGTGTGTGTATGGTTTTTTTGTTGTTGGTGGTGTTGTTTTGGGGTTTTTTTGAGTTAGAGTCTCACTTTGAGCCCAGGCTGGAGTGCAGTGGCACATCACAGCCTTGAACTCCTGGGCTCAAGCAATCCTTCTGCCTCAGCCTTCCAAGTAGCTGGAGCTATAGGTGCACAACACAAAGCCCAGCTAATTTATTTGTTTTTAATTGTAGAGACGAGGTATTGCCAAGTTGCCCAGGCTGGTCTTGAACCCCCGGGCTCAGGCAATCCTCCTACCTCTACCTCTCAAAGTGCTGGGATTACAGGCATGAGCCACCAAGCCCAGCCTAATTTACTGATTTTTAAAAATTAACTGCCTGCCTGCTTTGGTACTTGAGAGAAGACAGTTTTCATCATACTATTAGCTTTGTGTCTAGTGGTTGACATATAAAGCAGTGACATAATTAGACTTACCTGACGTGGACCTCTGATGCAACTTCCATTAAATCACCATCTACATTCCAAGGGAAAGTGTTTTCTGAAGCAGTTTCATGAGCTTCAACCTGCTCTTCTGGGTTGTATCCACTGGCGTTATTTCTCAGATTGACCTTTACTTCCTCAACAGTGTAAGTCTCAACAAATGGAAAATTGAACTGAAAATAAATGCAAATAATTATGATATCTGTTTTTTTCTCTAGTTGCTAATGCAAATAAAGTTCACTGTACCTTCTCTCATGAGTAAAAATATCAACATGCATGCTGACCTTATAGCTTTGCAACTCTATGAACAGGAATTTCCAACTTTTTTGGAAGAAGAAACTTCTTTTCTGAAGCTTTCCTGGCTCTTAAAGATCCACCATCTGGCAATCTTGTTTTGCAACAAATAGTATGTATTTATAAGAAATTGTGCACAATAATGATAGTTTAGAATCATCAATTAAAGACTAGATCTTTAATAATGTTCTGTTGATGCAGAAGTCTTACATAGTCCATTGACTTGATTATTAACTTGTGAATTAGTTTAGCTGACCTAAGGTAAACTTTAGTGTAAGTTTCATACGTGGAATTTAATTTAGAAGAACATAAACTAAACTAAATCTTCGTAAACTAATTTATGAAGATAAAGTGGGAGGAATATCTTCTCTTAAAAAAGAAAGCCAATCAAATATGATTTTCACAGGTGATTGTCTCAACCCTATTATAAGAATGAACACAAGTTACAATATCATTGTTTGCTTATTGACCACTCTAGAATGAAACAAGACAACCTTTAAATCATAGTTTTTCCTGTTTGCCTAAGGAAATTATAGTGAGAGCACTATTTCTTCTGTGAAATAATTTTTAAAAGTCAGATAACTTTAGTGGACATTTACAACTACTCATTTCAGCTTTCAGATAAATGGCATGAGATTTATCCCTAATTAAATATGTAATCAATATAGTTCTTCCGCTCTTCTGTATATAAACCTCAACAAAGCACAGAGTTTTAAAAGTGAGAGAAAACTAATATTTTCCCCAGCACCCTTATTTTACATATGTAGAAATCAAAGTCCAACAGATTTTACAGTTTATACTATTGTCATAAACTGAGTTTCACAGTGGATTATATAATAGCATCAGCAATTCTGATTGAGGTTTAGAGTTAGAAGGCCTAAGCAGCTCTCTGTAAAACTATTTGGTAGTAACTACATTAGACCTCCCACCACAGGTGTAAAGCCTGGAGTACATGCCTCATACTCGTGGAAGTTTTTCCATATTCATTTTAAAGGTTGTATCTTAAGTAAGTCATCAATAATTGGCTATTAAGGATTAAGTTGCTCCCCTGCCCAACATAATATGTTGAAGTCTTAACCCCTGTGAATGTCACATTTTTTTGGACGTAGGCAGATGTAATCAAGTTAAGGTGATGTCATTAGGGTGGGCCCTAATCCAATATGACTGATGTCCTTATAAGAGAGAAGAACTCAGTGTGATAGCAGAGTGAGATGATGTAGATTCAAGCCAAGCAATGTCAGGACTCGATAGCCACCACCAGTAAGTCTTATCCTAAATCATCAGTTTTCTTGTACATACAAAATGAAGACCTATCAATCATTCAAGTGAAGCCTCAGGCGTTGTTAAATGGGACTTTAAGGAGCCAACAGCTTGGTAGCATGTGTGAGGGTGTGTTTGGGGCACAGAAAGAGAAGTAAACAGTTGAATAATAGTGAAAGCCAGCGTTCAATGCCAAAAGAAAAGAAGAGGCAAACAGGCTCAGGAGTCAGGAAAGATTCCCAACTGAAATGAGACTTAACAGAAAAGTTATCCTGGAGGACAAGAAAAGGAGAGAGGAAACACAACAGTACAAAAATACAGAGGCATGCCATGGTCAGACAACCACAGAAAATTCAATGTGCCTATTATGGGTTAAGTTGTACTCCCTACCTCCCAAATTCCTAGGTTGAAATCCCAATCTACAGTATCTCAGTATGCAACTGTATTTGGAGATAAGATCTTTAAAGAGGTGATTAAATTATAATGGCATCTCTGTAATAGGCCTAATCCAATATGACTGATGTTCTTATAAGAGGAGGAAATTTGGACATAGAAAAAGACACTAGGTATGCACATGCATGGAGGAAAGGCCCTTTGTGGACGCAGAGAGAAGACAACTGTGTGGAAGCCAAAAAGAAAGGCCTCAGGAGATACCAAACCTGCTGAAACCTTCTTGGAATTCTATCCTCCAGAACTATGAAAGAAAATATTCTGCTGTTCAAACCATCCTTTCTGTATTTGTTATGGCAGCCCTAGATAACTAAGACAGCAGCCAACACACAGAGAAGTGTGGTAAGAGGTGAGGCTATGACACCAGCAGGTATTGGGATACAAAGACCAGGTGTTTCATACTGAGGAAATTAGATATTATCCTGGCAACAACGAGAAATGCACTGAAGGATTAGGCAGGAGAGAAATCTGATATGTGTTTGAGAAAAATTCCTCTAATAGGAGTTATGAAAGATAAGACCAGACAACCTGAAGACCAGAAGGAGGCCATTATAAGCAAGAAGGGATTAAAGTTTGAATTCAACTGAGAGAGAAACTTTGGAAACACTTAAGAGGAGGACCAACAGAACCAGTGGGTGGCCTGATGGTGAGGAATATGGAAGAGGGAGGAGTCCAGAGTAACTCCAAGATGGGTAGAAAGGGATGCCACGGATCTGGGGAGGAAAGCATGAAAGGAGTAACTTTAGGGGAGAAGATGACAAAGGCAAATGTGGATATGCTGGACTCAAGATGCTGGTGACTTTTGTTACCTTTGTGGCACACAGAAAGGCAGAGTGGTCCTGCAGACCAGAAGAGAAGACAGAACCCTCGGGAGTATGCAAAGTTCACATAGTTCAAACAACTGGGGGCAATGAGATCACCAAGACCAGGGGATCCTGAGAAGATAAGGTGGCTGCAAGCAAATCCCAGGGCAGCACAAATATTCAGGATTTTAACTCCTTAACAAATCAGATTAACACTGCTTGCAATCAGTCACCTTGGGAATCAGGCTAGTTTTTTTCACAAAAATTTACAAAGCAATAGTATGGGCTTTAATTTTCGGAAATAGCTAAATCAATCGGAGTTAAGTTCAATGAAAAGCTCACAGGCAACAGTTTCTTACATCAAATGCAAGATATGACTAGTTGAATACATTGGGAAAATGGGTTGTCTCTTGTATAATTTGTTAATTAGCAAATATTTTCCTGGCCAGGCTCAGTGGCTCAGCCTGTAATTCCACACTTTGGGAGGTCAAGGTGAGTGGATTGCCTGAGCCTGCGGGTTTGAGACCAGCCTGGGCAACTTGGCAGAACCTCATCTCTACAATAAATCAAAAATTAGCTGCATTTGGTAGCATGTGCCTGTAGTTCTGACTACTTGGAAGGCTGAGGCGGAAGGATTGCTGGAACCCAGCAGGTTGATGCTGGGGTGGCCCTGAGTGTGCCAGTGCACTCCACCCTGGGTGACAGAGTGAGACTCTAACTCAAAAAAAAAGAATTCTATAGCTATGGAATTATTTTCACTATATTCTGTATGTTTTAGTCCTTAGGTTTACAGTAAGCATTGCTTTTAAAAATCATTTAAAAAGCTATTTTCTTGCTTTTTTCTTTTTGAGTTGGAGTCTCACTCTGTCACCCAGACTGGAGTGCAGTGGCCGCTCCCAGCCACCGCAGCCTCGACCTGCTGGACTCCAGCGATCCTTCCGCCTCAGCTTTCTGAGTAGCTGGAACTACAGGTGCGCGCTACCACGACCGGCTAATTTTTTTATTTATTGTAGAGATGAGGTCTCACCAAGTTGCCCAGGCGGGTCTCGAACCCGCCGGCTCAGGCAATCCACTCACCTCAGCCTCCCAAAGCGTGGGATTACAGGCTGTTTTCATTGAGAAAAAGGTCTACAAAAATTGTCTTAGAAATTTGCTCCCTGGGCAATTCCAAAGGAGACCTTCCATGAATAATTCATGCAATAGTTGCTAAAATAAATGTAGAGTTTCCAGGGTACATTAATAGGTTAATACTCATTTAAGCTTTCAAATAGAAGTACATTAATGAGGTTAATACCTATTTAAGTTCTCATTTATTTATTAAAAAAGGATTAGGATAAATTTATACCAAGGTACTGACACTGATTATCTTTAGAAACATGGAACTTTGGGTGTTTTAAAATTGTTTTCTTTTTTCTATTTTCTGACTTAAAGAGAGCAATGAACATGTACTGCTTTGAGAATAAGAAAAATAATGCAGTTGGTTTTAGTGCTTAAAAATTTAGTAAAATCTGAAAAGTCATACATTCCTTTGAAAAAAATCAATAAGTCTCTGGATTTCCCCAAAACACACATACATTAAGTTGATACTGAGGCTCACAACCTACACAATATCTGCTTGTTTACTTTGCTTTCTTAGAGACTTAAAGACAGTGGGCCTATATCTACACTTTACAATTTTGCTTTCTAAACAGTACAGTTAGTTGTTCAATAAATGGTGATCAAATAATGCAGTAGGCAGAAGAGAATGCAAACTTCATGAAGACAGCTTCAGAAAGTTTGAAATTATAATGAGGCAAAATTGAGAGCCTTGCAATGGCTAACATATATAAGCAAGATTTAGCTGCTAGTCATTGACTGAATATACTCTCCTCTTCTTCCTCCCATCTGTTCTCTCCCAACTGCATTCAAACAGCATTTTATACTTCAAGGAGCATGTGAACCTATAGATTTTGCAATCATACTTATGTACTGTGAGGACTCACAATTTCAAAAACGCACATATTTTCAGGATCAGTTTCCTAATAACTGGGTCAAAATATCTGCCAAAATAATATGACTGGTAGTAACTATTGATTCCCTTTAAAGCAAATCACTTAAGTGGGAAGATATATCTCCACACATTCTAGTTTTGAATAAAATACTGTCTATATAAAAGTGGTATAGTTGAAAATATACATCTACAAATCTATTTCAATCAATGAACATAGGCAGATCTGCAAACAAATGTCAGGAAAATCTAAAGACCATAACTTTAGAGTGTGTCACCATAATATTAAGGTGACTGAAATCTCAGCTTTCACTACTTTTCATTCTGAAGAACAGCCTGAGTGTGTAATTTTATCCTTAATTTACTTCACATTTCAATATAACACTACATTTTTTATTTTCTCTTTATGGATAGAAAAACAGATTAATGTATTCAGAAGAAAATAAAGCCTTCTTATGAGGCAGCACTTGTTAACTCTTGTAGCCTCTCTGTCTCCATGATTAATAGCTTTGCAAATAAGTAACAAAAAGGATATACTATACCTGATCTTTTACACTAACATATCTTTTCAAGTGTTTTATAAATTCTGGTCGAGAAGTGTTTCATGCAATTATAAGATCCATACTTCCATTATTTAATCTGAAATTAAATATTTGTATTAGACACTAAGAAAGATATTAAGAGATCACACAAATTACTTCATATTGTTCCTTATAACAACCATACTATTTACTAGAAGTATTGAACTAGATAGATAATTCATCACCACATTAAAATGACCTAAAATTCTTAAGTCATCTTGCTTTGTTTTTTTAATAATGCAATCTTTTAAGTTAGTTTTATTAAATCATTGGATTCCTTCTCAATCAGCTCTTACATTAAAGCTTTTTACAGAACAACCCATCATGTATCCTACTCACATATCAAGACATAATTTAAAAATACAATCTAATTAGGAATCCTAAATGAAAAACTGTATGTTTTTTTAAAAGATGTATTATGGAATAGTTAATATGCACAAATGGCACAACAAATATCTCAAAATTTTCTAAAATTTAAGGTATGAATTAAATATTTATTTATGGGCAAAAGGTCTAAGTGACATAGGAAACAAAATAAATCAAAAATGGCCCTTGGAAGAATGAAAGAGAGTGAACAAATGCTGCCACACATGTTCAATTAAATGACTGAGCACTTTATTTCTGCATAACTGTTCCATCCAAATAAGAGACTGAAAATTCAGTGGTGTAATTTAGTGCCAAAACAGCTACAGCAAATGCATCAAGCTATAGAAGGCAGTTTGCCGAAATGCATACAAATGTCTTCTAGCTTGATTTCAGTGCAAATGTGAAGTTAATCCAAGAATAATGACATAAAAAAGAGCTCTTGAAATCTTATAGAAGTTCAGGTTGGAGCTGTAAGGGACCTTGGAAAGTATCTCATCATTCATGTATTTCACATAGGAGAAGACAACCCCAAGTTTAAGTGATTTGTTCAAAACCACACAGAGAAAAACAAAATGGTCATCAGCACAAAAGCTCTAATTCTCAGGGCCCAATACTGTTTCTATTCATCATGACTCCACTTACCAACTGAAAATAAACAGCACCAAATGTTCAAGGTGTTTTTATCATGCATCTGATTTTCTTAAATTGCCTAATTTTATAAATGTGAAAAACATTACCCTATGCTGGCTTTCCATTATTTAATAGAAATGGGAACGTACCCTATTTGCCTGGCACTGTGCTAAACATTTCATATGTAATTCCATTTAATCTCAGAATACTTAGAGTATAAGAATGTTAGTCCCTATCAGCAACTTGCACTGTGATATTTTAAAGTAAATTATTCTCTACTGTGGAGAGATGGGGGGAATGTGAAAGTGGAATCTCCTTTTCAATTACCCAGAATCATTTAGAAGCTACAACTCTGAAAAAAAAATATTGGGACAACCGAGGCTCATTCTAAAGACCTTGGCAAAAATGGTATGGTTTTACTATAATTCACAGAAGAAATCTCTAATGTACCACCCTTCTCTGGAAAACTCATCAATAGAAATTAAGCTTGGAGAGTCAACAACGGGATTCCAGGTAAGCTGAACATTTATGGAGCGACTTTGAAGGAGTTATGATTCAATTGCTTCCAGAAGAGCAGGACTATCTCCCATGGAAGTCACTGAACAAGCAGGGTTAGATGAACATTGTCTCAAGTCCTGCCAAACATAGTTCTCTAGTCAGCTAGCCATATCTTCATATTTAATGGAGAAAACTACATTAGGAAAGCACACAGTTATCTAGAATTTCTGAGGGCATGAGGAGGAAAAAAACAGGCTCTATTTCTAAATCACACAAGCTTCAAAATACTTCTTACAAGTTCCAGCTCTTGATGTAACTAATGAGGACTTTGCCATCTGGGTTTTTAATATCAAAATTTGTAATTTCTTTTTTCTAACATTAGCTATTTCTCTGTTTATTGCCATTATATAACTTGCCAAGGAAGAAATTTAAAATCAAATTCCTTTTTTTCAGCTGTTATTCATTCTTATTCAATATTTTACAGGGAAGTTGAAACTAGTCATTAAAATATTATAAATTCCCAAAGTATGTAAGTCATTCTTTTACTCCTCTTCCAGGGAAAATCTAGAGTTCACTATACGTTATGACATTCAGGATCTTTTCTTTTATGTTCTTCTCTACAGGATTGAATTTGGGAGAGAAATATTTTCAGACCCACGATGGACAGCTGCTTAGGAAGAATTTCTAAGAGAAGGAATATCTATATCCTGTGCATAAAAAGAGATATAAAATATCTCATGACTTATTCAACTGAAAATGTGGGTAGTAGATTCACAAGCACCACTATTCACATTAAATACAACGGAAATGTTTCCTCTGACTAAAGGTATCAAATATACATACATGCTTCCTCCTTTTCATGCTAAGGATATTTATGTTTGCATTAAGTCAGAGAGCAGAGACATTCACAAGAAATACCAGAACTTAATATAATATTCTCAACAACTAAATAAATAAGTAAATCAAGGAAATTAGGCATCAAATAACAAAATTATGTCAATAAAACCTTGAGAATATTACTTTGGCCTTAGTGATATTAAAAAGTCAGTGATTATCTGATATTTTTTCCAGTTCAGCAATTGTTTTCAAACTATTGTACTGACAAATCTCTTGGAATCTCTAATATTATACAAAGGGAAATTATCTCTTACTGAGTTTCAAGATAGCCAAGAGCCAGTTGAGTATATTGAGGAAAAAATGGTTTATAAGAAATGTATCAACGATTCAATAAAAATTCTTACTAACCTGGTATTAGATGCCAAGCCTCTAGGTGCCACTGAACACAGGCAAGGTATTGCCATAATGCTGACATTCAAGAACTGACCCCGGATCATTTGCCATTGATCATTACAGTCTAAAGGTAATGGAAGTGATTGGTTACTTTTTCTTACCAGAGCAAAATGTCAACAGAATCTGGCTCAGTTCTCCAGAAGATACTTTTGGACTCACCAGATTTGGGAGATCCCTGTACCCTCCTAAAAGTAATAAAACAAAAACAGTCACATACACACACACAAAATGGCATCTATTAAATATAAGAAAGTTAGAGAACTCATCGTTACATATATTAAATATTTTCTTAGATTGATTAGACAGTAAGTGAAAATATGTGAGCAATTTTATGGTCAACACTATAATCCATTGATTCACTTAAAAGCAAACTGGTATTATAAGGAACAATGAAACAATTATTTTCTTCTTTTTTTAAGAATAGAACCCTTCCTTTATGTGACTCTGATTAATATTTGTATGCCACACTAGACTAAAATTATCATGAAGGCCAAAACTGTAGGTTTTGTTTGTTGGCTCATTGTTATATACAAAATGCCCTAAGTAGGTACTCAATAACCAGCTGCTGAATGAATGAATGAGTGGATGAATGGATGGATGGCTGAGTGCACAGCTATTTCTGAAAACAGAAGCCAAATCACATGCTTACTAGAACCTGTAGGAATCCAAGATTCTATATTCTTTAGTACTATCTTAAGAAAATAACCAAAGGTCATAAGTCTGATAAATTGTTTATGTCAAAATGTTTTATGTTTTAAAAGAAGATACAAAATAGCTCTATTACACTGAGGCTTTACCTACCTTTCTTGTACATCCTCAGAGCTATTAAATGGTAAAAATGATATTTCACAGTCCTCTGGCCTAAAATATAATGAAATGTGTTATTAATAGTCACTGACCCTGGGATACAACATTTTTGATTAAAGAAAAGGACTTACTTAAGTTTTGCCAGTGCCTTGATCATAGCAAAATCTCTCCGTTGGTTAGGGGACATCCATCGATGTTTTTCCGCCAGAGCCAAAGCTCTCCCACCAAAGCCAAACATGGCTGAGAACCCAAAGCGAAGCAATTTGCCAGTGGTGCTAAAGGTGCAGACATCAACTAGCTGTATGTGTCCTTGAATATTAAATTAAATATTAATCAAACAGTGAGTGCAGTAGGGCTAGTTGTCAAAGCAGCACATGTAAAAGAGTGTATTTATTTACCTCTAGGAGAATATCTCAAGGTACTGTCTACCATGAATATCCTTACTTTCTCTTCAGATCTCTTTACTTATTTTTACTGTAACTGCATTTATAACTCATTCAGATATAAAGTGAAGAAATACAAAGCAGTAAAATTTTCAGCTTGTTGCTATTTCACATAAAAATGGATAAGAAAGTGAAGTTTAAGCATATGGGTAAACTTAGGTTGAATAGTGGTTCTATCAATTGGGATTATAAAAGGCCTATGGACATGCACCACTTGAAACTTTTTTTGTGTTTTTCCAGAGTCAGTATAGTCAGACATCAATGTTGGATGTACTTGAAACAGTATGCATGAATTATCTTCATCTGGTTATAAAATTATGATCTCAAGCATCACTACAATATTTTTTTCTACTAAGATTATAGAAAAACTTTATTTACTGCTTTTTACAAAGCAAGTATTTTGAAAAGATAATACAAAAAGTGAGGCTTTACTCAACTGACTTGGTTTTTAGCCAAACATCTCTGCTTTGAGAGACAAAGAGCCTGCCTTTACTTAGACAATTCTGATGGAAATAAGATAGCCTTCTTTATAAAAATAAAAGTGTCCTTATAACACATGAACTTCTTTAAAGAATTCTTACCCATTATAATGTGCAAAGTTGCAGTTACCACGTGAGGGATTCCATGAAAAGAATGTGCCAATACATTAGTAGATCCTGCCAAAGCAATTTTAAAACATGCATTATCAGCATAGTATATGTTTTAAATTACCCTTTGCTCTTGCTTTATATAGATGCCACTATGTAATGTTAAGATGGAAAATAAGTGTAAGTTTATAAAATCAGAAAAGTTAATAAAAATATTGGTGGAAGTTTAATATTTATCACAGCATAGACGCACATCAAATGTTTGCAGAATTATTTGTTGAATCTTTAAGTGACTTAAACATTTTTTTAAAAGGCCGGGCTCGGGATTAAGCCTGTAATCCCAGGGCTTTGGGAAGCCGAGGTGAGTGGATTGCCTGAGCCTGTGGGTTTGAGACCCACCTGGGCAACTTGGCGAGACCTCATCTCTACAATAAATCAAAAAATTAGTCAGGTGTGGTAGTGCGCACCTACAGTTCTGGCTACTTGGAAGGCTGAGGCGGAAGGATGGCCAGAGCCCAGCACGTCGAGCCTGCAGGAGCCGGGAGCGGCCACTGCACTCCAGTCTGGGTGACAGAGTGAGACTCCAACTAAAAAAAAATTAAAAATAAAAAATAAAGTTTATAGTATCTGCTTACTGCTTTTTTGATCATAAATATCTATTTTCTACTCCAAAATGCTAGCTGTATCAAAGACTACTTCATCCAACTTTACTGAATGAGATTTTAACTTCTATACCAAATGAGCACCGAAAGGTGGATCTGGAGAGCAGAGACAAATGTATAAGTTAAGGAGAAAGATCTAAATAATAACTAGGAAAGAAATACAAAATCACCACAACATCCAAACCACAACACCCAAAAAAACATGCGCTAAATACATGTAATGAATCTTAGTGATAAGCTCTCACCCAAATGGAGATAATCTCTTATCTGATAAATGGCTTTACAAATGGAGAAAATCTTTAATTCCATGGCATTTGCTATATATAAAGATTTGTATTTGAAGTATTATGATTTCTAATTTTCATGATCATTAGGGTAATTTAAGACCCACAAGGATTTCCTCCACCAGTCCACAGAGGGAAAGAATTCCCCAAGTCAACTCTTGTAATGTGTATGTGTGGTTAAAATCTGGAACACAGGCCTGCATCCAAAAGAGAAAAACACCAGCTAGCCCCTCTCTTTCTTAGGAAGAGAGGGTTTAAATTATTAAGAAAAGAGTGAATAAAGCTATATTTTTCTTGAATTAAAGGATATGGGAAAGGAGTCTAACAGTAACTGAGAGCTGTGAAAGCACAGATATGGTGTTACCAGCTATCAAGGCCAAGGCTAATCCTCTGGATTTTCTTAATCAGAAGCATTACTCTGTGGTTATACATAATTGCTTCATTTTGTATCACTTTGAACTGTTATGTGCTTGGGTTGCTCAGTTGGAGAAAATGAGGCAGCTTAGCCATTATCAAATAAGATGTTATTAAAATCATAAGTATTCAGTGCCTAAGTATTAATAATGAATGATCATATTTAATTATTAATTATTAATGAAATAGGCATAATGAAGCCAAACCTCTAGTAATAACAATGCAAAGAAAAGTTTACCTTAACCAATCGGTACACTGGTTACAACTAACTCACCAAAAGACAAGTTATGCTCTGACCCTTGTTACTCAGAATATGATCCACAGTCAAGCAAGAATGACAACATTTGAGTGCTTATTGAAATGGTGACACTCATGAGTTAAAGAACAATGTCTTGTTCTTCAGCAAAACACAGATGCCCACTCTCATTAATGCCATTCAAAATAGTACTGAAAGTTCTGAGTAATTAGGCAAGAACAAGAAATAAAAGGCTTCCTAATTGTAAAGGAAGAAGTTAAATTGTTCTTGTTTTCAGACAACTTGAACTTATTTATGTAGAAAGTCCTAAAGACTCCACCAAAAAGCTGTTAGAACTACTACACAAATTCAGTAAAGTTGCAGGATACAAAATCAACATACAAAAAGCAGTAGTGTTTCTACACATTTACAACAAACTATTCAACAAAGAAATCAAGAAAACAATCCCATCTACAATAGCTATCAAAAAAATAAAATACTTAGAAATAAATTTAGCCATGGGTATAAAAAACCTGTACCCTGAAACTATAAAACACTGAAAAGAAATTGAAGAAGATATAAATAAATGGAAAGATGTCCTGTGTTCATGTAATGAAATATCAGATATTGTTAAAATGTCTATACTACGGATTCAATGCAATTCCTACCAGAATTCCACTGACTTTTTTCACAGAAATAGAGAAAAAAATCTTAAAATTTCTATGGAACCACAAAAGGTCCCAAGTAGCCAAAGCAATCCTGAGCCAAAAAACAAAGCTGGAGGCATCACAATATCTGACCTCAAAATATATTATAAACTATAACAATCAAAACAACATGGTGTTGGCATAAAAACAGACACAAAACCACTGGAACAGAATAAAGCCCGAGTATTTACAGTCAACTGATTATCAACAAAGGTGCCAAGAAAACACAATGGGGAAAGGCCATTCTCTTCAATAAATAGTATTGGGAGAACTGGATATGCACATGCAAAAGAACGAAATTAGACCCTCACTTCACACCATATAAAAAGCCAACTCAAAATGGATTAAAGATTTAAGTCCTGAGGTCATAAAACTACTGAAATAAAAAGTAAGGGAAAAGCTTTATGCCATTGGTCTAGGTAATGATTTTCTGGATTTTACCTCAAAGGCATAAGCAACAAAAGCCAAAGTAGATACATAGGATTACACCAAACTAAACAACTTCTGTACAACAAAGGATGCAATCAACAGAGTAAAGAGACAACTTATGAAATGGTAGACTATATTTGCAAACCACACATCTGATAAGGGGTTAATATCCAAAATATATAAGTAACTTAATAGCAAGAAAATAACCCAATTTTAAAAATGGGAAAATGACTTTAATAGTCATTTCTCCAAAGAAGATATATAAATGGCCAACGAGTATATGAAAAATGCTCAACATTAGTAATCATCAGGGAAATGCAAACTAGGATCACAATGAGATATCACCTCACACCTGTTAGAATGGCTATTATCAAATAGAAAAAGATAAGTATTAGCATCAATGTGGGAGATAAAAGGAAAACCTTGTACACTGGTGGTGGAAATGCAAAGCAGTACAACCATTATGGAAAACAGTATGGAGCTTCCTCAAACAATTAGAGAACTATCATGTGATCCAGCTGTCCCACTACTGGGTATATATCCCAGGAAATGGAATTCAGTATGTCGAAGAGACATCTGCATTCTCATGTTCATTGTAGCATTAACCACAATGGATAAGATACAGAATCAACCGAAGTGTCCAACACTGATGAATGATACAGAAAATATGGTTCGGATTGAATATCCTTTATCCAAAACGCTTGGGATCAGAAGGATTCCAAGTTTTTTCAAATTTTGGAATGTTTGCCTATACATAATGAGACACCTTAGAGACCCAAATCTAAACAGAAAATTCATTTCATGTACACCTTATACACATAGTCTGAAGATAGTTTTATAGAATATTTAAAATAGCTTTTTGCATGCGACCAAGTCAAGTGTGCATCAGGTCAGGTGTGGAGTTTTCCAGTTATGGCATCATGTTGGCCCGCAAAAAGTTTCAGAATTTGGAGCGCTTTGGATTTCAGATTTTTAGATTAAGGGTGCTCAGCCTGTATGTATACACACACACACACACACACACACACACACACACACTGTGGAACTCTGTCCAGCCTTCTTAAAAGAAGAAAATTCTGTCATTTACAACAGCGTGGATCAACCCGAAAGACATTATGCTAGGTGAAATAAACCAAGCACAGAAAGACAAATACCACATGATCTTATATGTAGAACCCAAAAAAGTTAAACTCACAGAAGCAGAGAGTAGAATGATGGTTACAAGGGGATAGGGGATGGGAAAGATTGGGGAGATATTGATCACAGGATACAAAATTTCAGTTAGGAGGAATAAAAGAACAGGAAGTGTGGAAACCTGTTACTCAGGGGATTCTTACCCAAGTCTTCCCAACAATCTTTTGGCCCTCTACTGCCTGCCCTTTGGCCATCTAATTGCTAATTAATCAGAAATTGGTAAGGAGAAAAAAAGAGGAAGCAAATCAATCCATTTACTTCCCACTCTAATTTATAGTAAAGGTTTCAAGGAGGCCACATTATTAGAGTGAGATATTTAGGATTATCGATGGATTACAGTACTCTATGAAACACATTTCCTTAATTATCATGGTTAATTAGGAGTAGACCATAAAAGCATTCCTCTAGAAAGTCTATTAAAAAATAGAATATAATGTTGTCATGTGCAATAGAAAATAACACATATCATGACTCAAGAAAATAAAGACAGTTTATTCTCTGTGAGTTTGAAGTATGCTGAGCATGCCCAAGCACAAATTCTTTTCAAAAGATGGGTATGGCTTTTTAAAATGTTTATATCCTCTCAGGCTTCGCAACTTTGCAAGTTTTAAAAAATTCTGTACAAGTTGGCAGTAATAACAGGCACGACTAGGAGGCAGAAAATTATTTCAGCCACCGTCTTCCCATTACTCTGTACCTTAGTCTTTAATTGTGTTTTTTTTTAACACTCTGAAGAAAAAAGGGAAAGTTTATCAGAAAGTTTATGTACAACTGTAAAATGATAGATTGTTCTAGATTCTGTTTGGATAATCTGAAAGATGGATTACATTTTGTTAGAAAATTGCATTCTATTTGAAAAGATGTCTACATGCCAAAAGAACATGCTGTTCACATAAATAACAACGGTGTAATTTTAACATTCTCACAAAAGTTATAAACGTTCTGTCTCAAGGTAAACATTTTAATTAGTCTAAAAGTTATTTTTATTAACACTACCAGCAACTTTGCCCACCACTCCCTCTCCAGAGCTGCTAAAATGCTCCAAATACAAAAAAGTAAGGACAGAAATAGCAGCTCATGTAAAGTATCACTGATGAAATACCAGGCAGGAACTAGGAGGCAAAAAAAAAAAAAAAAAAGTCCTTGGAAGTGCAAGCACTTCTGCAGAACAATTAACTTAATTAACCAGACATCATGAATATTCATAAGGCTGTTAATGTCTCCCACATCCAAACAGATAAATGTGATGTAATGACTTCCTAGTCAAGCATATCTAAAATTCTCATGAAAATGGCACCTACACTTTGGTTCTTTGCCTGAAATATCATAGAAATTAACAGTCCCTCGGTAATATTTTATTCTCCTCAAATTAATTGGAAAGCATGAATTTATTTACGCAAACTCTATAGGAATATATGGTTCACAGCCATCAGTATGTGGATTGAGTCTTGTTTTACAACAACTGGATTGCTTTTTTATTTTTATGTCCTCTCAGGCTTTTTTCTCTCTTCCCCCTCCCCCTTTTAATCAGAATCTTTCTGTATAGTTCCTTAGCACCAGTTCCCATGGTAACAAAAACCATTCCTAATGGCCAGCAGTTCAAATACAGGCTTCCCCACATCTGATCCGAGTCTGACCATAATTCAGCAGCTTAGTCTGTTGGCTCAGTGGAGTAATTTACTAAACACTCTCCCTCTGGGTATCTCTCTCCAGGAGGCAAATGGCTTCAAAAGGCAGACTGTCTCCTCCTGTTCAGCTTGAAAACTTCCTGCCTAGCTCTTGTTTCTATTCTCTGTCAAAAGCCCTTACTAGGCATAGAGTCCTCATATTACATATATTCCACACATGTCTGTCTCCTCCGATTACATGGAATTAGGAAGCTAGAACTCCTATACAATGAGCAGAGTTTTGACGGCATACTGGGTCTTCTAAACAAAAAGTGTCAAAATGGCATTTCTACAAATATTTACAGAATACACAAAATGCGTTCAAAATTAGAAATATGCTTAAAATTATAATAGTGATAAAACTCAATGTAAATAATCCTACCTAAAATCTGAGTTACATGTCAAAAATACAAGCATAACCAGTGGGCTTTGTAGCCAAGTACTTACATTATATGAAATGCATACCTGGAGGGAGGACACCCATTTTCCATTTCTGATAACTTTGGAGTTTAAGTACCAATGGAGACAAAAAAAATGACCCAAGCATATCCACTTAGTATGGAGAAAATGATGAAAAGTTTCTATAATCACAGTCAAAACTACTAAAATGACACAAAAAGGTGAAAAAATAAAATGACATGAAAAGATGGCACAAAATTCATCTTTTTTTCTTTTTGAGTCAAGGTTATCCTCTTATCTTCTACTTAGAAACCATTATATAGGGTTTTCTATAAATATTTTACAATTATCAGGATCTATTTGAATATCTCTCTGCTTTTAAATGTTACTTTTCTGAATAATTTTATAAAAGGGCATTTGGATATCTTATTCTTTGTTAATTTATCAACAATATAAATATACTAAAATTCATACTAATGAATGTGATTATCAAAGAGAGTGTTAATCATTTAACCATGTGCATTATTTGCCTTTTTCATAGGGAAAAATCATTTATCTACCTTTTTAAGTGATAATGTGTAATTGTTTTTAATGGAAAAGTAATTTCCTTTACTCTCATTTATTTAAATAATAATCTGGGATAACAATCAATTTGCAAAAGATGTTTTCCTCTTTTCTGGACTTCAGTGTTGCTCTAACTGTTCTCAGTGTCTTTGACCACTATGTTTTCCTGCCTCCTTCCCCTCATCATTTCTCATCGCGTGGCAAAATGAATCCTCCTGGAACAAGCTCCGATCAGGTTTCTCCCTTGCTTGGAAACATACCATTATTCCCTACTGCTTATCAAATACAATTCAGACCCCTGACGGTGGCATGCAAGAGCCTCTATAGTTGGGCCTATTTTGATACCATTATCTCCCATCAAACGGTCTGTTTTCCATTCCTCAAACACCCTTGGGTTTTGCCTTTGCTTTTATTATTTTTACAGCTAAGAAAATAACTCATTTTCATCTATTCAGGCTCATTTTAAGGCCTCATCCAAGTGTCATCTACTATATGAAGTCTTCTTGACATTCACTCACTTAATATTCTTTAGGTACTGAAGAAACAGCAGTGAGTGAAAAGATCAAAAGCCTTGCCCTTGAGGAGCTCACCCTCCTGTATCTTGATCCTCCTTCCAGTCTAAAGTAATTATTTTGGCATTCTCTAGTTTATCTGGTTATACTTCAATTACATGAGTTACCCTATTTTACCGCCTAAGGAATTGTAAGCAGCTTGACACTCGAGGTCCTGTTCTGGAACTCTCTAATTGCTGTGCGACCATTAGCCCTTTTCCTGGGAAGGCAGAATAATAATCATCCCATCTGTTGATTATGCAAGTATGTACTAAACTCTTTGCACAAACCATCCAATTGAATACTACAATAACCTTGTAATGAAGTGAATAGTATACATGTTACTCCTATTTTACAAGTTAGAAAAACAAGGCCCAAAGAAATTAAATGACTTGTGTAAAGTCTCACATTTGTTAGTGGGGATGCCAGAAGTTGGAGACCTCAGATTCAAAGTCTGTATATTTAACTCTGGGTTACATTGTCTAGGTTAGGAAGTGAGGAAGGAAAAGATGGAAGAAGGAAGGTCAATTTAATGACTCAATGACCACTCCCTTGCCTGCTGGTATTAAACCAAGTGGAAGCTGTGCTCTGACAGGAGTCAGGATTTGGTCTGTTTCCATCCCAGCATTCTTCTGGGCTCTGAGAAGCAAAGCATGGGCTGCTTCACTAGCAGATCCGTCTCCACCAACACAGACAACACTAGAGAAAAAGAAATTAAGTAAAAGAAGTAAAACTTTAGAATGACTGGTAATAATTCATGAAATTTAGACTTCAAAATAGTTTACTAACCTTATATTGTGTATGTAATCTTATATAGTATATGACTACTCACACGTACCTTCAAATATGTTAGTATGTGTCCACAGATAAGGAAATACAAGCACTACATCGGTAAAGTTTACTTCACAAATATCTAGATAATCCCCACAGACAAAATATTTTTAAGGAAGTCAAGAGACATTAAAACATTTGAGCATGTTAACTCACAGCTGACCTGCATTTTGTTCTGTTAATATCTAAAAGTATATCATTCTCATATTGTTCATGTTCATCGATACTGTCATCTACAATTCATTTAACTAATGCCAACAAAAGTTATAAAATCCTGCTAATTCTCAATTAGCTCTGAAAAGACAACCAGTCATAAAACTCACATAAAAGATGAAGCTTTAATTTAAGGAACTACTCATTATCATTAATATAATAATACAGTAATTGCAAACCTGACCTGGTTTTCATCTTCTTGACATTACTACTACATGACTCTTCTAAATTTAGTGTAACTGCCCTTTGATCCTAGATAGTACTGCTAATAATTTTTAAGACCCTATGGTAAGTAGACTATAAGGGGGAGTCAAAATCATCAATTTACCCAAAAGGAGGAGGATTTTGCATTACTGAAAGCAGTTCAGAAAATATGTTTGCTCTTTTCCATTAAATCCTCAGAATTTTGCAAATAGGCAATAGCCTCATCTTTATAAATGGGGAAACCAAGGTTTGATTTGAACCTTACCCATTTGATTTCAAAAATCTCCATGATATTTCCAAACAGTTAAATATAACTCCTGATCCATGTCTGTCTACATCCTGACACACGGATGTGACCAAAAAGACCACATAAAGTCATCCCCCTAAAATTAATCAAGCACCAAAGAACTTGACTCTTACATACATAGGATGGTAACACTTGATCCCTGGAATCTTGCATACAGTTAGAACATCATGCATATGTTAACTTGTTGCTGGAGTTAGCAGAGATAGCCTTCCTAGGAGCATGTTCTGCTACAAAAACCTTGGAAATTTTGTCATAACATATTCTGTGCTAAATCTTTTCAAGTTAATAGGAATTATGATAATTATAACAATAAGGTAACATTTAGTGAATAACTCTATATGTATCAGACACTGTTCTCAGAACTCTCCATGTATTAACTCACTTAATTTGAACAATTACTGCATGAAATAGATACTATTACCCTCAATTTTTATATGTTAGGAAACTAGGGAATAAAAAAATTAAGTATTGTTTCCAAGGTTATAACACTAGTAAGTAATAGAACAAGGATTTGAAATAAGTCAATGTGGCCTTAGAGACTATACTATTATTCAACATAGTATACTTCTTTTCTATATGTGAACCCTCATAAAAATAGATAAAGCAAGCGTCTGAATATTACAAGAAATATAGTCAACCTTTTATAATGAGCTAACGCAACCAAACTTAAGAGTTACTCTACCAACCTGCATAATATAGTGAGACCTCATCTCTACAAAAAAAATTAGTACAAAAAATTTGCCAGGCATGGTGATGCATGACTATAGTCCAAGCTACTCAAGAGACTGAGGCAGGAGGATCACTTGAGCCCAGGAATTCGAGGATGTAGTGAGCCATGACTGTGCCACTGCAGTCCAACTTGGGTAACAGAGAAAGACCTTGTCTCCATAAAAAATAACAATAAACAAACAAACACAACACACATACACACACACAAAGAGAGAGTTATTCTGAAACAAAACCTTATAGTAACTAATCCTTAGTATGTCACAAATCTTATTTTCAGAATAAGTAAACTCCTTCTTGTTTATGACTCCAAATAGAACGATTCTGTCTAGAAAAGAAAAACTGGTTACTAAGATCTTATTTCTCTTTTTTAATGGGTGATTAAAAGATATATATTTTTTTTTAGTTGTAGTCTCAAAAAGCCTGTCGCCCAGGCTTGAGTGCAGTGGCATGCTCACAACTACTGCAGCCTCTACCTGCTGGGCTCACACTACTCTTCCACCTCAGCCTCCCAAGTAGCTGAGACTACAGGCACATGCCACCATGCTGGCTAGTTTTTTGTTTTTGTTTTTGTTTTTTAATTATAAAAACAAGTTCTCGCTATGTTGTCCAGGCTAGTCTCAAACTCCTGGTCTTAGGCAATTACCTTTGCCTCCCAAAGTGCTGGGATTATAGGCATAAGCCATCGTGCCCAGAAAGAAAAAAAAATTTAAATGAGTGCTTGTATTTTTATTTATCAACCAACATCATCTATTAATTGTTGACAGTATTATTGACTTTTTTAATTCAGAGCTGAATTAAGTAATATTGTGTCAGTCTAATAGAATGTCAATATTAGCCAATGAACATCTGTGTTACCATGGGTTTAGTTAATAGTGAAATGAACAAAAGAAAAAATATGTAATTGAATATTTTTTAAATTATGAAACAAATATCAAATAATTAGTATATCTACAATTGCATTAAAACTACAGATTTTTTTAAAACTATAATCACGCTTACAAATGCAACTTCTATTGCTTCAAGGCTATGCAGCTGATATTACTCTTTTCTTTCTCTTTTCAAACTTTCTATTCAATTAATATAAAATAGGGAATAATATAAAATCTGAAGCTGCTAGAAGTTTTAGCAGCAGATGTGTTTGCTAGAACACACTGTAACGGAGTGCCGGCTGTCAGGAGTACTAATACACTATTTCTGTTGGATTTAGAAATATGTCTCAGTGTGTCTCCATAGAAACATGTAACTCATTTAAAAAACTTGAAAATTGTAGCAAATAATATTTCTTAAACATTATTTTCCAAGTCATTTACTGAATACTATTAAATCTTTCTTTGATCCTAACCTCTCTAGCCTGTGTTGCGAAACCAAACAGTAAGGTGATTTTCTTAGCACTTCTTACCAGTAGTTCCACTAGCACCAGACAAAGGTGCTTCAGGCTAAAGTCCTTGAAGGAATGTGAGCCTGTCTCTCATCAAAGTGCCATAGCATCTTGGGACTACCTTATCAATGTTTAAACCTTTTCTATAAAGTCCTCAAAAGGTGTCCACTCTTTGAACACATTGGGGAATAGGAAACTCACCAATGTAGAACATTCCATTTTCAAATTATTTTACTTGTGAAAAAATTGGTCTTTTGAAGCACCTAAAGAAACTATGTTTTGTTATTCTCCTCATATATCTCTCTATGTAATTCCAAATACAATGACTTAAAATTACAATTTCATCAAAATAACTATCCCAAACACCATTATCAGCTACTACTGGAAAAACTGAACTCACAAAAATAAATGAGCTATTTAAAGCATGTTTGAACATAGATGATTTTCAATAGAAATTTTAAGTTATTGTAAGTACAAAATAAATTAGCAAGCTGCAAGGTTTAGAAACAGTTACATAATAGAATGTGATTCAAATAATGATTAGGCTAAACTATTTGATTTTTTAACTGTGGATAATAACTGAAGAATCTATATATTGTTTACTACCCTACTGTGAAATAACACCTGCCATCAGAAATAAATATGTTCAAGAGAAAGATATTACTATACTGTACTTGAGTAATCATCTTTCTTCATTCTACAAAGTTCTTTCTAATCTTTACCACAATATAATTACACATTGATAGATACTACATTCAGCAGAACACTTCATAATGCTGGCGGGCAGGACCAGGTTTAATATCTGTGATATCTGTTATTCTCATCACTTATATAATCAAGTTTTGAAGCAAGAACTCATTTTCAATGCTGTTACCCTCATGTACTCTTGAGCTCTGGTTTGGGACTATGCAGCAGACTCAAGAAGATAGAGGGCATGATTCTTCCAATTACTTTTCTTAAATTTCGTACTTGCAAGATAATGTCATAAATGTAGCCTATTAATGCTGTTATCTACCTCTAACTATAAAGTACTGAAGTAATCTCCTACCTCATTCTTGATTCTCAATATTTATATAAATATTGCTGTCCAGATTTATTCTCTAACCCAGAGGCATCAGATAACCTGACTTTAAGCATTACAACAAAGCTAAACAGCATGGTACAAGTTAAAAAAAAAAAAAGGAACGAAAAGAAAAGAAATTACACATATAGATGAATGGAACAGAATAGAGAACCCAGAAATAAAACCACTGACCTATAGCCAACTAGTCTTTAATAAACCCAACAAAAATAAACACTGGAGAAAGGACGCCCTCTTCAATAAATAGTGCTGGCAAAACTGGCTAACTATATACAGAAGAATGAAGCTGGGTTCCTTCTTTTCACCATATACAAAAATAAACTCAGGATGGATTAAAGACTTAAATGTAATACCTCAAAATATTAAAATCCTAGAAGAAAACTTTGGTAAAACCCCTTCTGGATATTGACCTAGGCAATGAATTTACGACCAAGTCCTTAAAAGCAAATGCAGCAAAAACAAATATTGACAAGGGGGACCTAATTAAACTAAAGAGCTTCTGCAAAGCAAAAGAAACTGTCAACAGAGTAAACAGACAAATTGCAGAATGAGAGAAAATATTCTCAAACTATACATCCAACAATGGGCTAATATCCAGAATCCATAAGGAACTTAAATGAACCAATGACAAATAAGCAAATAACCTCAGGAAAATGTAGACAAGAATAGACACTTCTCAAAGTGAAGATATACATGCAGTCAACAAACACATGGGGAAATTCTCAACATCACTAATCATCAGAGAAATGCAAAACAAAACCACAATGAGATGCTCTCTTGTACCGAACAGAACAGCTATTATTAATAAATCAAAAACGAAGATATTAGCGAGGTTGGGGAGAAAAAGGAATGCTGCTGGTGGGAATGTAAGCTAGTTCAACCCCCGTGGAGAGCAATTTGGAGATTTCTCAAAGAACTAAAAATAGATTTGCCATTCGACCCAGCAATCCCACTACTGGGCATATACCTAAAGAGGCATAAAGTTTTCTACCAAAAAGATACCTGCACTTGTATGTTTATTACAGCACATACATCACATTCACAAGAGCAAAAACATGGAACAAATCTAGGTGCCCATCAATGGTGGACTGGATAAAATATTACATAGCCATAAAGAAGAATGAAACTGTGTCCTTTGTAGAAATGTAGATGCAGCTGGAGGCCATTATTCTGAGCAAATTAGCACAAAACCAGAAATCCAAATACCACATGTTCTCACTTGTAAGTGGGAATGAAACATTGGGTACACAGTCATAAAAATGGGAACACCAAACACTGAGGATTCCTCAAGGGGAGGGAATGAAGGAGACAGATGGTGAAAAACCACCCATTGGGTACCATGCTCACCACTTGGGTGATGAGCTTAATAAAAGCCCAAACCTCACCACCACACGATAAACCCACATAACAAACCTGCATATGTACCCCCTAGAATCTAAAATTTTTAAAAAAAGAATAATCATACTTTACTTACTAAATTTTCTTCCTTATCAGCTACTGTTTTCTTCTATTCAGAAAACATTAAGCATTTCTGAAAAACGGACCCACTGATGCTCCATTTCAATAGCACCACTTCCCTCCCGGATGCCCTCTAATTATTCTGTGGCAAGGTGAAAGCCTTCACTTTCGTGAAAGTGCAGACCCGATTTACTGTCTTTCCTGACCTTACATATATTTTGTTGCCCTTGCCTGTCACTATGTGGCACAAATAAAACCTGTCAATGTTTTAAGCTCCTGGATAATCATCCTTGCAAAAACAAAATTTTCAAAAGAACTATAATAAGTTTTAGTCTTACACATCAATCAGACACTTTAGCAAATTCGTTCATCTCATTTTCACAAAATGGCTATTGAATGTATGTCACTTGCTGTGGTTGTATTTGCATGCTAGTGAACAATCTCTGCATTCTCCAGTATATTACAAACATGGTTTCCAATGCCTACCATGACAACACACCTATATTGTAGTCACTAAATTATGAGATCATTAAAATAGCATATTTTATTTATTCTAAAAATACCTTTATTTTTATAAGATATCTACCCTTATCCATCAATAATACCTTTATTTTTATAAGATATCTACCCTTATCCATTCAACTGGTAGCTATTAAAACTATCAATAACTATCAATTACTATCTTTTTACAAAAGAGGATCATAGAATAGTTATACCATATGACCAAATATTCTAAATACATGGTAAAAGTCAATAATAATTATATATGCAAATGTATACACATTAGATAAGAATATAGCAGAGTACTGTGATTTCCCCATACTTATTAGGTTCTTTCTTTTGCTTTCCTATGCAAGAGGTTAAGAGGTAGATGATGTCATATTATCATCATTATCATTGATTACTATTACATAGGTATAAACAAAATAGAGCCTAATTATATACATTACAAACATTTAAAAGTTATGGATTACAAATATGTGACTAAAAGCTAATGAAAGCATTTAACAATGTAAGTTATACAATACATATAGATTAATACTATAACCTACCCATCGAATCCCTGGAGTTCACATTCCTTCAGCAGTGACAGAGCATGCCCTTCATATTCTGTAACTATTAAAAAACACACAAAGTCAAAATTTCAACAATGATCTATACTTTCTGACTTGTTTTGGCAAAATAATAAGATAAACATATGGTCAGGTCATAAGATAACATTTATTCTTGAATATTTATATTTTAATCATGGGAAAGAGGATTAAGTGTTAGTTGCCCAATGTGTTTTATAGCTTTATGTAAAAGAGGGTCATATATTTGTTCCAACTAAATAAGTCATTTGGGGATATTTCACACATAGTGGTTAGGGACTTTATCTTGGTGCCTGCCTGTTTAGTATTTCCTAAATAAGACACATGTCCTTTAAGTCTGAGGGTTAAGAGCAGCAGTATTTTCAAAATAAGGCATATTAGCTGGCATCAGACAGGCAATGTTAAATTGCTTTGGCAACCTTGCATGAATAAATTACTTGAAAGGTCGGTGTAAGATTTACAAACCAAAAGAATGTGTATCTGAAACTGCTAAACCAAAAAGAGGAGGGGATGAAAATACGAAGAAAAGCCAACACCAATGATAAGAGTCCCAGACCCAAGGAGGAGGGTGGTACACAGGCCCACCAGAGCCCAGATCCTCCGAGGAAATGACTGTCACTCCATATCCCTGTCTCCAGTCACTGATGTCCTATGCAGCACTGTAAATGCCAGTGAAGACAGGATAAACGGGCACACTGCAGATGGCACCAAGCATCACAACCACATTTAGCATTTTCCAGGGCAGCTCTGCCAGAAGAGACAGCCAGCTGTACCCACCCATCAAAGATTTCTGCTGACTGACATGACATTGCAGATGGATTTTTTGTGTAAGAATGTGCATCATTATATGCAAGATTACATTAATCTTTCATGCCTGTCTGTCCCTGGTGCCAGCATGGTTCAAGCTTTTCCTACATTGTTTATAGATATTGTTAAAAATTACTAGTTTTAGTGTCCAAGAGAATCATTCTGTACTTAGCAGTGTTACATTGTAATTTTCCCATAGTTCATTCAAAAATACCATTAATACTCACATGAATAAAACCTCTTTATATTAAATTCTAATCAGAAGAAAACTACAATAAAACTAAACATAAAACATTAATATTAATAAAGTTGAAAGGTTATTATCAAAGATGTGCGCTGATCATTCATTTATAACTACAGCTAGTAGTTACAACCTTAACATGCAAAATAATAAAACACCTTACATACACACATTAAAGACAATTAAAGACATTATGAAGAAATATTTATGCTGAGAATCATATATTTATCAAGTTTATCAAGTCTTGTTTTTATACCAAAGCTTATTCCGGTCAAGTTTTTCAAATTCAGTAAATAATGAGCTTTACAATTGTGTTATGGCTACTTTTATTTAGATGAAAATTGAAATAGTCTATTTTTTTCTTTGATCTTGTGGGTGGAACTTAACTATACAATAATGTAAACTGTCCAGAATAGTAATTTTTAAAGTGAAATTGTATAAGTTAAATAAAATCAAAGATCTAGAACAAAAAAAAAATATGAGAGAAAACTGACTGCCCACATCTATAAAATATATTAGCAGAATGAAAAAAAATAGTCTTTGGCCACAAAGAGTTTACATCCTGGAAACAGACAATATACACTAATTAAACTATATTTAAAAATACGACAAAAAATAAAGAGCAATCTGGACTTCCATTTGAATACAGTAGAAAAAAAATACATATTTAGGCTATATGAACCCTGGAATCAGAGAGAGCCAGATTCAAATCATCCCACTCCAAATATATATAAAGAGAGGACTGCCAGACAAACATAATTTCAAAAATTAACCTAGCCCCTTCTTTCATTTACTTGCCTTTTCCTTGCTATGTTGCCCAGGTTGCTCTTGAAATCCTGGGCTCAAGAAATCCTCCTGCCTTGGCCTCCCAAAGGGTGGGGATTACAGACATAAGTGTGAGCCACCATGCCCAGCCTGCTGCCTTTTCCTATAATATTGATGCCCAATGCTCTTTCTATTTAGGAGATTTGGAGTCCCCACCGTTTACAGGTCTTTGAACACAGTCTCCGCTGCTGAGATTTCCCCCTACTCCCCTGCCCCTTTTGGCTCAAATATAACTTCCTCTGGAAGACAAGACTAGAGAAGGAAGTCTTGAGGCTGATTTAATGTTGATGAAGAAATGGGCTGAAATAAAATCAGATGAGATTTGATTTGGATATAGGAAAACATTTATTAGTGTGGAGATCAAATTCTATCATGGGCTGGGATACTGAGATTTCATTTGTTTTCCTGTCTTACACATACTTCAAACTCAGTAAGCACAGAACAGAATCTATTACGTCTATATTCTAATATATTGTGTCTCAAGTATATTGTTCTTTTTGTGTTCCATCATCATATCTAAGACAGGAAAGTGACTTCTTCCTAGATTATCCCTTTTCTCTGTTCTCCATAAGCACTACATAGCCAAGGTCAGTTGTTTCTGTCTTTAAATCGTGCTGTATATCCTCTGTTTCTCACAGCCAGTTTTCCAGATCTGGTCACTAGCCCTTTTTCATCTGTAGACAGGTTGAATATCTCTAATCTGCAAAAGCAGAATCCCAAATGCTTCAAAATCTAAAACATTTTGAGCACTGACATAATGGAAACACTCATTGGAGCATTTTGGATTTTGGATTTTGGAACCAGGGATGCTTAACCAGCAAGTATAAGTATTCCAAAATAGAAAATATCCCAAATCCAAAACAGTTCTGTTCCTAAGCATTTCAGATAAGCGATGCACAACCTGCACCACAACAGTCCTTCCTCCTGTCTTCCTCCAGCGCCTCTCCCACTCTAGCCAGAATCTTTTCAAATACATATTTAATCATATCACCTTCCTGCACAAACCCCACTGGCAACTGCTCATCGTCCTCAAGTATAAAATTCCAACTTCCTCTCATCTGAATGTTGGGCATAGGATAGGCCCTAGAGACCCACAATTACTTGAGGTAATCAAAAGAAGCTTACACGCAGCATTATCTTTCTCTCTAGCTGGATATGTTTGAACATTTACTATGCAGATTTTTTTATTAAAATGCAGGTAAAATTGGATGGAGTGTTGCTTATTGCTGCTAACATCTTTTGTGGCAGTTTTATCAGATTGATAAAAGCTTTCTGTTGGATGATATCTGGAATGACAGGAGGCAATTCCAAGAAAGAATAGGCTTTAAGAAGAGCCAAAAACAACCAAAAAGAAACAATACAAAAAGATTTGTTAAAGGGTCAAAAGTTAGAAGCATGATCTAGAAGGAAAAATAGGAGCAAAGTAACAACAAATCCCATTTGCTTGACAATTCTGCCCAGAAAGTAAAATTATCTGATAACTGGGCACTTCTAATGGCCCTGAACTACAGAGATCAAGGTTGCATTCAGTTAATTCTTGATAATGATATGACCATAAGGTCTAGCAGTTCTGTTAATACAAACAGCAACTGAAGAAGATGTATGTGCCTATCAAGAATAAGAGAGATTGGGGACAGATAGGATATCTGTCTTCAAGGATCTCAATAACTCTTATATACTAGATGGACACATTTATTCCATATTACTACAAAAGAGAATCTCAAGTAGATTAAAAACTACAAGGAAGCAGACATCAGCTTGCAAGTTCTCTATGTTGTGCAGTTTATATCTAGCTACTTGGCCAAATGGAAGGGAGGATCTACAGTCTAGCCAGTGCTCTTGATTGACAAGCTAGGTGATCTTGGTTTGAATCAGCCTAAAAAGGAATCTCCTTGCAAATTAGCATAGAGGAGATGCCTTTTCTAATGTGCACAAGGACACAGTGACTATGAACATTCATAAGAATGTTGTCCAGTGACAACATACTCAGCCTCTAGTGTAGGTGGCCAAACCAACACTGGGAGGTCACCCACAAGGAGTGCTACACATCTGCACTCCACTCACATGAGGGAAATTGAGTCGCATGGCCTCTAATGTTCTTTCGGGTCTGATTTCTCTGCTCCCTTGAGATTTCACCCTATTGCTCTATGAATCATCTACAAATCTATGATCTCTCCAAATACCTCTCACACCTTTAATGGTACAATCTCTAAAGTCAGCTTTATTTTAGGAGCAAGAGGTATAAATGATATCATAGTTCAGCATGGTCTTAAAGTGCATATTCTTCTTTGATTTGTATACCAATAGGCTATTAGGAAAAATAACTCAATTCTTTCTAGATTCTTCCAGAAGTTCTCTGATACTATTATTAAGATAAGATACTACATTGGTTGTGGTAGCAGAAGGAAGGTGCAACATTAGCTCAACTATTACAAAAGATGCTGATCTACATTCAAAAATAGTTAGGGTTTCAACATGAACCAAAATGAAAGGGGTAAGTGTATTTTTATTAATGTAGTGAGATCTATTTTTAAAAGAAATTTATGGAAAAAATTACAGTACTTTATAATGTATATATTTAGCTATAATTTTCAAAACATTCCTCATATTTACACAGCACTATTTCCTAAAGAATTTATCATCATATAGAATTCATATTATAATTCATATTCCATTTGGATTCATCAACAAAAGGATACTCTAAAACAATAGTCCCACTGGACATGCAGAAAAAAAATGTACTCTTTTTGCTTTATTCTTTCATACTTGATCTTTTTTATTTCAAATAAATCATGAATTGAATCTTATAATTACATAATTTTATGAAACTGAAATTAATAGTATTATGATCATATTTATATAGTACTTTATAATACTCAAAGCTGTTTCAAAAATTTTATTTGGACACAAAACAAAACTGTAAGGTAGGCAGGAAGACAAAAACTTTTCAAACATCTACATGTTTATTCAGTCCTACAACATAGACAGTATTTTTCATTGCATGTATATTTAGTAATATACCTACTAAAATGGTTTTGTAAGCAAAGGATGTAATTTTATAATTTTGCCTGTAGGAGGAGAGTTAGGCAGTTAATAGTTAACCATCCTGCACAAATATGTAAGTAAATTCTAAATATGCTATATGTAATATATTTTATTATTTTGTGTTAAACTAAATATATTTAATAACTACAAATTTAGGGGAAAACCCTGGAACATATGTTTCTCTCCAATACAATTGTTTTAAGAAGTAAAGCACACTTCAGTGATTTCCTCTGCCTTAGTTTTATTTTCTCCAGTGTCTTTCTCTCTCTTCCTTTCTAATGTCGATTCTGCTGGTGGAATCATTTTTCACAGATTACACTACTATGATAAAAAATGTACATCAACTGCAGACAAAGCATGATGTGTAAACTGCTGAGTGTAGTGTACAGATCGATCCATAATCTTGACTCAAACTTCCCAGAAGGTATTTTGCCCTTTCTTCTCCCTAATAAAATTCAGATTCAGTTTGAGAATCTTCAAACTGCAAGAAAAGGGGGCCCACCCTCAGCCCTGGCATTGGTCTTGATGGTTCAGGGAATGACTGTTCCAGGTTGGGCAGATACTGATACAGTCAAAATGAAAGAAAGAAATTTTAAACCATCTGCAGGATTAAAGCATGTTGAGTGTCTCTCTCACATATAGCAAACCTCTCCCATCCCACTAGATATAAAAAAAAAGATTCAACTCACTGGCATATTTAAGATGAAGTCAAAACTGAGGAAAGGAGAGCAAAGTTATTGAACAAACTCCCAAGATATAATGAGTATAACACACTCTGCCCCTTCTCCCACTTGTGCCTGCTGCTGGCCTGCCTTCCTTCCCTTACTTTTTGCCTTCTTTTGCCTCTTAAAAATGGACCAGCTCAAGTGCCTTTTTGAGCCTTCCAATCAAAATTAATATTATCCATTTGAGACACCATAGTTATTTTATGTATACCCCAATTATAACAGTTTTAACTATCTATATAAATCCCTAATAACCTAAAAGTCGCTCAACAGCAAGTATGATAGCATTTTCATCGTGCATTCTGCACAATGTCTAACATAGAGCAAGTAGTCAACAAGAGATTCCTCAACAGAATGGATATGGTAATGTCTATATCCAAATGTTTTGTATTCACATTTTAAATCAATAACACAAAATAATTATGGAGTTTATTCCATTTTTAATTGTCTCACCCAAATATAAATCTCAAGCTTTTCCTTCAGCCTATCTTTGAAAATCTTTGGTAGAAAGGAATAATAAATGTGAATTTTCTCTTCACCTTGTAAATCACCTCTAAGTAAGCCAAAAGTAACAAACATGAAAGATTAACTCCTTCCCCACAACTTTATTTTAATTCAGAAATCCTCTGGCATTTTTTCATGGTAGCTTCTCTTGAATCTCTGTTGTAGTAGTAGATGCCTTTGGGATGGCTGACTTTCCCACAACCTTGCCCTTTTTCAAGGAATTGTTTTAGGAATTTTCTCCTACCCCAATCCATCAAGTCACAGGGTGTGGACTCATGAGACCCATCTTCCTTGGCTATAGCTGAGCAAAGCCAGGTCACTGGAGATCCCTTCCCCAGGAATTTATCACTGGGTCTAGGACATTCCAGGACTTATCTCCTGAGCAGGTTTATACAATATTCTTCATCAATAAAATTTATTGCAAATTTACACTGTGTGTTAGTTAAGCTTCTTAGAAATACAGATTAAAAAGTTGGGATTCACAAAAGTATCAGTTCTTCTCAGCTCCCCCTCCCCATGGGAAAATAAAAGTCTCTAGGAAACAAAGGAATTTTAAAAAAAGCTATTACTAATCTTCTTTCTATTAATTTTAGCATTAGAACATTTTTATTTTCCTTGGCACAAAACTAAACACAGGTCTTAGTTTAGATGGAGAATTTAAGCTTTTAGCTCCTCTAAATTCATCTAAAACCAGCAGTTAAGTGCTTAGTTTTGACCTAACCAGCAGGGGTCAGAGTCAGAACAAAAACAACCTAAGGAAGGATGTCACAGAAAAACATCAACTATATAAATGAGCAAAAAAATCAACTGCTTGCCAAACTGCAGAAATCATGTGTAAATAGCAAACATCTCAGTGAATGTATCAAAAAGTAGGTAGCTTCCTTTAAAATTATGCCCCCAAATCATTTAGGTCTAGAAAAAGAAAGCCTAAAATAAGGTCGAAAGAGAAAATATTGATAGTCTAATAAAAATAACACAACAAAAATAAAATAATAAAATTATAACCTTGGAGCTGACTGTGGTAGATCATGGAAGATAAAAAAGCTTTAGATATTCCAAGTGCCTCTTCAAGTTTGAATTAAGAACAAATTCAGGTTATCTTGCTTCCGTAAGTATTTATTTTTTAATGGTGAAATTATTCTCTGGAAATAACTTACTTGTTACATCAGTTTTTATTCCTGCAAGCTTCAGCAGAGGTTCGACTTTCTCATAATAGACCTGAGTAGCTTCTTTCTTGTGACTTTGGGGGTTAAGGAGTACTTTTAATGACTTTGGTCTATTTGAAAAACCTAAGAAGAAAATATAATGACAAAGTTATCAAATCCCCATAATTTTTTCTTTCCCTTTAAAATGACACATAAGTCTGTTAGAATGTAATACACATTTAAATAGTATATGCTATTTTTACTTAAAATTCTTGCAAGAGTATTCCTGAATGTGACATTATTTTAAAACATTTATGTTGTCCTAGCAGTGTGATATATCCTTTTTGAAATAAATCATGAGTTCTAACAAAACATTTATGAAAGAAGATGTTAAAAAAAGGGAACTTTGTGAATATTAGGCAATGCTTATGTCTATTTACTAAATCACAGATAATATATCAAATGTCCCTTTAGTATTTGTTTCTGGAAAAAAGCAATGAACTGTAACAAATAAAAGGGTACATTTCGTCTCCTTGGCTAAATGTACTCATTAATGGAATTGGGCACCCCAGTGACCCCAGGACTACCAACGCCTGACCTACTGATGAGTCCAGGGCAGAATAGAGTGAGCAGGGCCGGTCAGTGTCAGCACCCACAGCAATGCATGCTGGTAGCTAAAAAGAAGGTTTGGGTCAGAGTTCAAGCCTGAAAAGGGGCCAGGGGAGAAAGAACTCTTCTGGGAATTGGGAAAGCAACGCCTCTCAGCGGGGATTCGCTGATAGTGCTGCCTCACAGTTGGGGCTGAGATTTGATACTACAATTTTCCAGGCTTGCAAGATGCTTATCACTTAGAACCCAGTTGGAGCAGGTGCACAGCAAATTTTCTGTTGTTAGGAAGGGGCAGGAGGGACAGAGCAGCCAAAAGAAAGCTGACAACCGTTTCTTTTATGGTAGGCTGCTCTCAGAGAACCACATTTCAAGGTTAAAAAAGCAGTTACTAACAGCCATTTTTAATAAAAATCCATGGCTAAGGACAAGTGAAAACTGTCCACGACATGAAAGTCAGGGTTTCATATTTCAGGTAGAGATAAGATTTCATTTCTCAACATATTTGATAACGATAAAATATTTTAAGAGCACACACTTTTCGAATTCAGGGAGAGTTTTGAATGAGGACGCGATAGAGCCAGGCTGAACTCCTTAAATATTCCTGATAAAACTGCACAGCGTCCATATTTTAGTAAGAAGCCTCTGTCAGCCTTCAATCCCCCAGTCTGGAAACCTCAAAACTATGCTTAATGTCTTCCTTTTCCCAGCTCCTACACCCAAATAAGTGCCTAGATTTATAACATTATAGCAATTTGCTTTCAAATCTCCTACCCTCTCTTGCTATTGTCTTCTGGCTTGGGGCCATTGTGCAGGCACCCTGGCTATCCTCCCTTCTACCGCATCCTTCAGCATCACAGCTCTGATCAGTGCTGCATGGTTCAGAAATAGCCATGGCTCAGTGCTGTCTCGGAACAAGCCCAAACCTCTTTAAATGACGTTCGGAGCCCTCCCACTCCCAGTCCTAACCAATCTCCTCTTTCTCTGTTTCACATATTCAAGAACTATGAATTGAGCATTTGTGCAAAGGACTGGGAAAAAGGGCTAAGTGATTGAGATGTGGTTCATGAATTAAAGGAGGAAGATGTATCCACACATACAAACAGCACAAAAAAGTACAGAGTTGTTAACAGAGATGCATAAAGTACAACAGGAGCTTATGAGAGAATGGTGGTTAATTCTTATTAGAGATCTGGAAAAGGCTTCAAGAAAGGAGTATTTAAGTGGGGCTTTTGGCTTAAGCTGTTTTCATCACTTAAAATTCCCTACTGTATTACCCTTCATAATTACAACTTAGCAAACCAGCAAGAGTAGACATTTTAGGTGATGAAATCTGCCTGAGCAAATGCATGAAACTAAGAGTAGGGGGTCATATGTTTCATTTTGACTTCCTCGTCAAGATTTAGACCCCTGTAGCTTGGCAAAATACCAAGTCTGCCAGGTCATCCTTTGTTTAGGCAGTCTCTCCTTTCCCTTCCACCCCACCCTAATTTTTGTCAAAATTTTATCATTTTTCAAAGCTCACTTCAAACACCATTTCCTCACCAAAGCCTTTCCCTATCACCAACAGACTCCACCTCTCTGACTTCAAAAAATACTAATGAAAAACCCTAGGACAGTTCAAAATGGAAAAACGATAGTAATATATCATATAACATTGAATTTTCTAAACATCCAACTCCCTGAGTAACACTGACACTAATCAAACAAATAAAGGATGAAATTAAAACATTCTGTTCTATAGTAGAATAACAATTAATAAAGATGAAAAAATTATAGAGTGAGAAAAATCACTATTTTTAGTTATCGTTATCATTACCAACTCAGGCAAGAATCATTAATGGATGCTAACAGAGACAGTCAGTTGGGAATAGCATATTTATGTATTCTTTAACTCTTTTTCCCTCGTTACTCTAATTACAAAGGGTAATGCCTTTTAATGGAGACTAAAGACGTGATGACTAAATGCAACACAGGATTCTGGATCTGGTAAAGAAAAAAAGGAAATGACCATAAAGAATAATATTGCTGTCCTTTAACCAAGAAAAGATTAAGTAGGTAAACCCAGGGCTCACTTTTATGAAAACACAACAGCCAGTCTGGGCAACACAGCAAGACCTTGTCTCTACAAAAAAAATCAAAAAATTAGCTTGGCAGGGTGGCCAAGCTACTCAGGAGGCTGAAGGATCACCTGGGCCCAGAAGGTCAAACTGTGGTGATCCTTGACTGTGCAACAGCACTCCAGCCTGGGGCAAAAAAGTCAAAACACACACACACACACACACACACACACACACACACACACACACACACACACACACACACCAAAACACCAGTAACAGAACAAGAAACATACCTAAAGCCCAGAGACCAAGAGTCAGGTTAAATATCCAGATTAAGTTACTTTACCTGGTAAATTCATCAGAATACCCTGCCTCATTTCTCAAGCACGGGCAGTCCCAGTAAGGCTGATGTTACCAGAAAAAACAACTTTTTTCTCCCCTCTTCCTATATTTGTTCATTTATCCACAAATTGCTACATTTCTGCTGTGTGCCACATATGATTCTAGAAGTTGAGGCTCTATCAGTAAATGAGAAACAGCTCTATCTTTATAAAGCCTCCCTTCTAATGGCAGGGTACAGAAAGAAACAAGAGTATGTCAAATGATGATATGTTCTAAATATAAAAATTAAGATCAGTAGTGGGAGAGGGGGAGTGCAAAAGTGAAAGTGACTTCCTGGCCAGAGAAGGTCAGATCACCCAAAGTCTTGTCTTTACAAAGACGTTGGCTTCTGTTGAGTAAGAAAAGAAGCATGGTGAATTTTGAGCAAGGCAGCCATAGAACCTTAGGTGTTAAGAGGAACACTCTGGTTGCTATGTGGACAGTAGACACAGTAGGGCCAAGGGCTAACTAACTTAACTTAAGAACAGCTGCACTATTGCAGGTGGGAAATGATTGTGCTTGAAGCAGGACTGCAGTGGAGGTTATAAGAAACAGATTCTAGATATGTCTCGAAGGAAGAGCTGACAGGATTTGTTGAGTCTTTGGATACAGTATATGAAAGAGAAGAGGCAAGGAGCACTCAAATGTGTGAAGAGTTAAGACAGATAAGAACTAGTGAAAAGTGATAGAATTGATCAATTGTGGTCTTAGTGGGACTGAAGGCTTTTAGGAGTTGAGGGAATAAATCAAATGAGCTAGGAAGACAGAAGGCAACAAGTGAGGATGCTTTACAATGACAACAAGATCTAGTGCATTGTCATATTCATTAGAACCCCTGAAGGGCTTCTAAAACACAGATTAAGGGTCCCAGCTCCAGTTTTGGGCTCCGTGGTCTGGAATATTATCTGAGAATTTATAGCAGGCTCCCAGATGCTGTTGATGTTGGTCCAGGCACACTTTGAGAACCACTGCTCTAGAAGTATGATTGTGAGGGATGTGAATGAAGTCAAGCGCAGGTCAAGATCCTGGGAGGGGAGCAAAAACTGAGAGAACATCTACAAAAACACATACAATTGCTATGAAGGTAGTGCCAGAGAGAGTGGCAGGGAAATAGAGTTTATGTTTTCAAGGAGTAAAGAAAATGACCCTAAAGTAGTCTGCACAGGACTACAAAAACTAATGCTTGCAAGAGGTGTCTGATGGATTGAGTTTCAACACAGAAATTTTCAAGAAAGGAAGGAGAGAAAATGGTCTCGAGTAGTGAGGTGAAAGGAAGACATCAATACATAGACAGCACCTCTAGGACCAGTGATATGAAAGGTATGGCAGAGAAAACAGTCACCACCTGGGAGGACTGTGGAGGAAGCTATAAGCTCCTGGAAGAGATAGGTCTTTCTACTAGAGCAAGAAAGAGAGAGAATATTTGAAAAAGAGATTGAAAATATAGGAGATTTTGTTAATGATGATTCATTCATTACAGAGGACAGAGTAAAGTGCCTGGAGTTGAGGAGAGTAGAGGATGGTGTCAGGCTGGGGGAATACCTTCAAGGGATGGGGATCTAGATAGTGTAGGGCCTTAGGCAGTGAAAGGGTGTAGAAGAGATAACTGATTGGAGAGTGAAGCAGTAGGGGAACAGGGTCTTGGCCCAACCATATAGAGTTCTAAGAACTTGTTTTCTGTTCAGCCAATGTCAAAGCTAAAGGAGCAAAGTTGCCTGGAGCTGACAGACTTTCAAAGTCCCTTTGCCTCTCAGCAGTCCCTGACAGTGCTGGAATCTAAATACACATCTGCCTGACATGGACTCCATTCTCCACCATGTGACTTCAGTACAAACAATCTATATTTAAGAACCACATAAAACATGCCCGTGGCACAGAATTCAAAATCGCCATCCCCTGATATCTAGTTGCAAAACAACCACTGATATCACTTTGCGAACCCTTCTAGAAATATTATATGCATATAAAAATATGCATGTATGCTCTGTGGCTTTTCACTAGACAGCAGTATCCCATACACTGTTCCGCATCTTAAAACTTTTTCCTTTTACTATATTTTGAAGATGACTCCATATTACTATATAGAACTCCATG